AATTTATTTTTTTATTTATTTATTTATTTCATTTATACCCCACCTATCTAGTCAATTGTGACCACTCTAGTTACAGTGCCTTGCTCTTTTATATCAAATATCATGGACTGTGCCAATTCTATATAATTTTAAAATCATTTGAGTAAGAAATAATGTTTTATTAAAACTCAGAGGTTTTCATTGCAGATTGGCATGGGGTATTTGTATGTTCAAAGTGAAGGAGTCCGTCTAGAAGGAGAGTCAGAATTTTTATATCCTTTATATGCCAAAGAAGTTCATTCTAGAAAAGTAAGTTGCCAAATATAGTCATGCCATCTTCTTCTGGTTGCTGCACAATGGTGGAGGGTGGGGTTTCACTTAAGTGGGGCTTATTTTTGGGTTAGGGCTTATATTACTAGCATCCTGAATAATCAGACCAGGCCTTATTTTTAGGTTAGGGCTTATTTTCAGGGAAACAGGGTACTTCTGAGTAAATATGCACCACTATTCTAGGTTAGTAAACGTGCACAGAACTGGAGCGAAAGTCAGGTGATCAGTGGTTATCTGCAAATGAAATCGTATTTATGATTATGATTTGCAAATTATGATACACAATGTTTATGTAGGCTACACTCAGCAGTATGTCATGGAATAAGAGTGGGTGCTGGAATACATTTAGATTCAATGTAGATTCAATGCATCCAGCCATAAGATGATACTTACATCAGCCCAGAATCAAGAGTGACTCTGCTCAGGATCTTGAAGAATGCATTATTGCAGAAACAGAGAAGTCTATTCCTCTAGATAATTTTGGACTGCAGCTTCTACCATTGGTTGTGATGATGAGAGTTGCAACCCAGTGTATACAGGGCCACTTATAACCTGGCTCATAATAATTGGTGATAGACCGTGACAATTCAAGTTAATGAGAATTCAAGTCAAGGACAATGACAATATAACTAAGAAGTGGGATAGTGAAACTCTAAACTGAAAGATTAAAAAGTTGCTTACAGAGGCTCGAGTCCAAATGGTAAGTCCAACAAGAGTAGACGAACTGAATGAGTGGAAACTTGGTGAGTCCACACTTAATAAAAGTTGCATTGAATTAATGAGCTTATTGTTTACTTTGTGGTATTTAAACAAATTTCATGAAATGTATAAATTGTACAGAGAGAGAGAGAGAGAGAAGACTTCGCATGTAATAGAGCTTTTCTCAAAAGTAGGAAATATCTCACAGGGGAGTATACCCTCTTCTTTTTGTAGTTTCCTGCTCTTACAGGAGAGAATGGCAGAAGCATGCCTCTTTGCCATGCTCTCTCTGCACTTGCATGAACAGGTCTGCACTTGAACAGAGCTACTGCTTTCAGAATCCTCACGACTGAGAGCTTTGGATCATTGGTCCCCTTCTCTCACCTACAGCTCATGTTCCAGCACTTCCTCTCTCAAGATCCAGCAATTTATATACCTTGGGGGGGAAAGTGGGAGGGCAAGATGGGCATACCCTTGAGCTACCCCAACCCAGTGGGTCTGCATTATGTAGGTTAGTTGGTGCAAGATGAGTGTATATATGGAACATGCTAAATGTGCCTCTCTTTTTCTAAACTCTAGGATGAACCATTACTGATAAACTCTACTGACAATGTGATTTTAAATGCACGCAATACTGATGGGAACGTCACAGGGAGATTAAGTGTGGGTAGGTTTAACTTATATTTCTTACATTTGTGTTCTGAAAAGTTCCAGTGTGCCAAGAGTTGTACACTCATTCACTGTTGTGATTTTACATACAGCCCTAGCTCCTTCCTCAAATAGCCCTAGCCACCCAAATCAACTGAAGAAATCAAAGTAATTAATTTACACTTAGATGGAGGTCAGACTTTTAGTTTATTAACATTATGCCTATCATTATGCCTTCATTCACAATCCCTTTTTAAAACAATTCAGCTTCCAAGAGGATATCAATGAGTGGACTACACAATCATTTTTATATTATATGCAAAATACATATTATTCTCAATTTTGATCAGATATGACTTTGTTAGCAGTGGGGAATGCCAGTGTCCATATTTAGCTGGCAGTGAGGAAAATCATAAGTTGGACTCAACTTGACAGGCCATAATTTTTTATTTTTCTTAATTCTTATTTAACAGTGAGATTTAGTTCTGTATAAAAATGTAAAAGACTGCACTATAATGGAGGGTTCTCTTTATTCATTATATGAAATGCAGGGTCCTGATTTGATAATGAGAAGGCAATTATATTCTCTACTGCTTTCTTTTTCTTCACGCTCCCACTGTGCAGTTATACATACTATAAGCTTATTTTTGCATCGTGAATGCCACCTAACTCAGCCCTAACAACTTATTATTATATGATTTTGAAAACATCACTTTTCCTTTCATCGAATCCCAGAAACAAGCCATGAACAGATGCTGAATTAGGAGTATGGTACTAGGTAAAGGTTCCCCTTGACATTTTGTAGTCCATTCATGTCCGACTCTAGGGGGTGGTGCTCATCCCGTTTTTCAGGCCATAGAGCCAGCATTTGTCTGAAGACAGTTTCTGTTGTCATGTGGCCAGCATGACTAGGGAACACTGTTTTACCTTCCCACCGAGGTGGTACCTATTTATCTACTTGTATTTGCATGCTTTCAAACTACTAGGTTGGCGAGGAGCTGGGACAAAGCGATGGGAACTCATTCCGTCGTGGGGATTCAATCTTACGACTGCTGGTCTTCTGACTCTGCAGCACACAGGCTTCTGCGGTTTAGCCCGCAGTGCCACCACATCCACATGGTACTATGTACATCTGCTTAAAAGTTAATTCTCATTGAAGTCAATGGGGCTTTTAAATAGCACTGGGCATAGGATGCTAAATCCAATTGTTCAGTCCGAACTAAATAGAGCTCTTAAATTAGTGAAATTTATGTAAGTTTTGGCATACCAAGTTTATATTCATTCAGTAGGTTTACTCTACTTGGGAATACAGTGATTGGATTTAGGCCAGTATCCTGAACTGTAAAAGCATGTATGATAGTTCCTATGTAATCACAAGACAATGATTGGCAAAGACTTCTTTTATTAATGCTTCTATATTTTTAGATCCTGAAAAGGTACAATTTGATGGTCAAGAATTCCAGATCAATTCAGTGAATATAAAAGGAAAGCCACTTTTCACAGTGAATGAAGATGAAGTTACAGTTGGCACAGATAAACTTCGAGTCACAGGTTTGCACGCGTGTCCTGAAGCAGCACAAAAGCGTTCTTCAGGGCAATAAAGAAAACGTTATTGCATTGTGTACAAGCAGATTTTGTTTTGTAATCCATGTGAATTGTGCAAACATACCACTGTGTAGTTTTGCTTACATATTCTTGGATACATAGATTTAGGAGGAAATGGGAAAAATGAATTAGAAATAATTTTAACCTCCTGACTCAGCAAAAGGTGAATGTCAAACCAATTTACTTCCTGAGCAGTCTGTAATAATTAGAAATGTGCTGTAGTCACAGACTGTCCTTGGTTTTTTCACAATTAATTCCAAGGCTGGAAATTAGTCAATATGGGCAAATTGTCAACAAATAGGCTTCCTAAGACATTTGGACAGAAAACCTTGTCAAGCATTTTCCTAGAGTTTCCATCAGAATTCATAAATCTTTGCACTCACTGAAGGCTTTGCAATAGCCACTTCCCTGTACCTTAACTTAATTTCTTGACCACCTCCCTTGGAGATAACAACCCATATAGAGCTCACAGATTTGGGTTTACAAGACAAACTGGTCCCCCCCCAGCTCTAGTACTCAATAAGGAATTCAGGGTGTTACTGTCTCTCCAAGTACATTATCAATAAGATAGTATAGTTGGAAAGCTGGGGGGGGGTACATACAGGCTTGATGCAAGAGTGAAGAGGAGAATTGTGCCAGAAAAGAGTTGGAAGGAGTGTCAATAAAAGTAGATTGTGCCTGGTGCTTATTCTCAGAGTTGAGACATATAAGGGTGAGTGATGTCCATTTAGAAAGAGTGAACAATTTGACAGAGAGGTATAGCAGCAACCCTACAACCCCACCAAAATCTGCTTCTGAAGAGTGTAGGATCCTTAAGTATGAGGTAGGAAAGGTTGTGGATGCTATAAATTGAAAGGGGGATCTATACTAATTGCCTCCTTTGCATAAACAGTGGAGCAACATGGGATCCAAGCAAATGTGTTTACGTACATAGAAAGCTATTATTATGATCATCATTGGTGTGTGTCATTTTGCGCCTCCTTTGCATAAACAGTGAAGCAACATGGGATCCAAGCAAATGTGTGTATGTACATATCCTAGAAAGCTATTCTTATGATCATCATTGGTGTGTGTCATTTTGTAGCTAGAAAATAATGGGAGGGTGGGTTGTCCATTTTCCCGAATCCCTTGTTGGTCGTCTCAACTATTTTCTGTTTCCTGCATTTCAGGGCCAGAAGGAGCGCTTTGCGAACATTCTATAGAAACACCTCTTATCAAAGGTGTAAAGGGTCTAAGTAGTATTAAAGAACTTAGGTAAGCTTCCCTCTTTAAAGTAAGTATTTATCTACTTGCTGTTGGCCATTCTGGCTAGGGCTGGTAGAGCGACAGCCCACCAACATGTAGAGGGCCACGTATTGCTTACCCTGGCTAGCTCGTTTGCTGCACTCTACTGCTGAATAGGTGGAATAAATAAGACAGTCTCTGCGTGCAGGTTTACAGTGTGAAATATATGACACAGAAGGAAAATAGTTTAGGAAGGAAGAGGAGAAATACAGAGTTATGGAATAACCATGTACATCACATAAATATGACAGAGGGGCAGTTGATTTAATAGTGTAATGGAATGCAGGTTGAAAATGTAGATACAATAGTCCCAATCTAGATCAGGGCCACTCATATAGACTCTAATGTAAAATGTATTTTAAAGCATTCAGTATATATGCAGATGGCACTGGCAATCTTGTAAAATGCCTTGTGTTTAAAGGGTTAACATACTGAGGAAGTTAGAAAAGAAAGAAAGAAATAGTGTCATTTTAAAATGCAGTTTAGACCACAGTTAGACAAAACATTAACAAGGTCTTTCCTTATTGTAAATAACAATGCTTTAGGAAAAAAAATATGATGAAAGAATTAAAGAAGTACGTATTGTATTCTCATAATGCCATAGTTTGGAAAATGTAATTCCATGATATATAGATTTTAGGATTCTATGTTATTGTTAGGCTGGCAGAAATGTCAGGTAGAAATTTCCTGGGGTAGCAAGAATAGTCAAAATAGAGGTTCTTGCCAAAATTTGTATTACTGGGCCAGGATTTTGAGTAGATGCAAGGTCTGTGCGATTTTATATTACAGTTGCACATACTGTAGTTTCCTACTATTGTAAAACCTAGGTGAGCAGAAGAAAGTTATTTATGGTTAGTGAGGGAAAGATAAGAGTATAAATCTAATGGAAAACAGATAGCCAGTTTAAGGAGCAAAAACAATGTCTGGCAAGCATCGCTAGAGGGGGAAAACTGCTTGGGAGGGTAAGATTTTTTTAATTGATGTGATTGTACATATAACCTGCTTATGCTCCAAACTTAAGTTTTAATACATTTTGTTAAAATACATTTTGTTAAGACATTTTAAAGATGTGACTTTATAGAGAGTTTACAGCTGGGAGACATTTCTAACTTAGAAAGTCATGTAATTTAGAGAATGTCTTTTTATAACATCAAAAGGATATTTAACATTTTGTCATACATCAGTTATAGTTTTTCCAAGTATCATATTCAGTTCGGTTAGAACATTTTAGGTTTTATTATTTAGAATTATTTATTACTTAGATTTTATATATTCATTTTATGGTTTTTATGGTTTAAGTTTATTAAGTGGAGGATTTTAAGTCTTTTTCTGAAGGTTTTAAACTCTTGAACATTTATTCAGACAAGCGTCCGTATGTTCTCTTAGCTTGCTTATACTTGTTAAATAGAATGAAGAAAAAAATAGAAGCCTTTTAGATATTCAGTCTATTTCATTTGAGGCTGAAAAATAAGTAAAGGATACTCAAAAGAAGGGGGAGAATTTTTTATACATACATACATACATACATACATACATACATACATACATACATACATACATACATACATACATACATACATACATACATACATACATACATACATACATATCTCGAGATTAGACCACTGTAATGCGCTCTACGTTGGGCTACCTTTGAGATTGATGCGGAAGCTTCAGATGGTGCAGAATGCAGCAGCCAGACTTCTCAGTGGGGTGAGGAAAGATCAACATATCTCCCCCACTCTGGCCGCCTTGCATTGGCTGCCCGTTCGCTTCTGTGCTGATTTCAAAGTATTAATGATTACATATAAAGCCCTAAACAGTTTAGGACCTTGATATTTGGCAGAACGCCTCCTCCCACCTAGATCTACTCGTATCACTTGCTCCAGCCAGGAGGAGCGGCTGAGGAGCCTGACGCAGAGGGAGGTCTGGAAAGAAAAAACCGGAAACTTCTCGGAGGTGGCTCCCCATCTTGGAATAATCTCCCCTCCAAGGTCCGCTTGTCCCCTTCGCTGGGAATTTTCAAAAGCCAACTTAAAACCTGGCTATTCAGGCAGGCCTTCCCTCCAGTCACCACTTAATCTATTCTCTTTCCTCCATCTTGAATGACTGTTTATTGTTGAGATATTGTTATTTTTCAATTGTGAGCCGCCCAGAGTAGACATTGTCTAGATGGGCGGCATATAAATTTAATAAATGAATAAACAAACACATACACACACACACACTTAGATTTTTTTTTCTAGTCTCTGATTCTGGAGGGCTCTTAAGATTAGTGAGTGTTCTTAGTATTAGTATTGATCCCTTCCAGAATAAGGAGTGGTTTGTATCCTTTCAGAAGCAACAAAGCATGTGATAAGAATGGTGTACCGTTACAATATATTAAACAACCAATATGAACATAGGGAGATGCCTTCTACTGAGTCAGATTATGAGCAGGACGGACTGTCCAGGATTCCAGGCAAAATTCTGTCCTCAAGCCCTGTTAAGCTGGGGCCTGCTTGGGGTTGTATGATACATCAAACATGTAACATTTCAATTCAGTTTTAGATGTTACACCTTCCAATCTCATACACTCAATCTTTTTTTTATTAAAATGGGAGCATGCACTTAATTTTTCCATAGGAAACCATAGGGCAGAGGTGCCAAAGCTTGCTGAGATTGTCCACGTTCTTATGTGCGTTTAGGATTAAAGCACTTTCTAGAGTGTTGACAAATCGAAAGATCTACCGTACTTTCCTTTTCTGCCACTTTGTGGCAATGCAGGTATTTAAGCAGATTGTGTTAAGACTTATTTTGCTTTTATGGTGTACAAATTTTGGTGAGTTCTCTTTACAAAACTAGCACTTCTAATTCTTGAGACACACTTAGGTTTCTAGTGTATGTTTACACTTTTTAAATGCCTGAAACCACATTGCTATGTAGTTCTACATTGAGTTTAATTTTGATTAATCATACTGGCAGAAATTCTGGGATCTTCTTTGATCAACTTTGATAATTTTCCTCAAAGAATTAACTACACTAAATCATATGTTTCTCACTTCTTGTTGGCTTTCTTCCAGAACACAGGTTAAAAGTTATTCAGTGGCCTTTCCCCATTAAATCCCAGCACAATTGTTCTTTTTAGTTTATGGATCCTGTCTATTTTGAATATGAAATGTTTCCTGTTGTTGTTACATGCTGTCAAGTCACTTCTGATTTATGGTAATCACATGGATGAGCACAAAATGTCAACGGCCCTACTCAGCTCTTGTAAACTAAAGGCTGTGGCTTCCTTTATGGAGTCAAACTGTCTCATATTTGGTCTTTCTCTTTTCCTGTTGCCTTCAACTGTTCCTAGCATTCTTGTCTTTCCCAGAGAATCTTGCCCTCTCATGGTGTGCCCAAAATACAACAATCTCAGTTTTGAGATTATTACCCCCAGAGGTAGTACAGGATTGATTTGCTCAAGGACCCACTTGTTCATCTTTCTGAAAAGGTCTCCTCCAGCACCATATTTCGAATTAATCATTTTTTTCCTGTCAGTCTTCTTCACTGTCCAGCTTTCGCACCTTACATAGTGATTAGAAATACAAGAATGTGGATGGTCTCGGCCTCAGGCTCCAGTGAGGCTTCCTTACACTTGTTGATCTTTTCTAAATCATTGTTTCCCTTCTGAGCCTTCTGACTCCTTGGCAGCCATATCTAATTGGATTGATGATAGAACCAACGTATATAAAATTTTTAGCAATTTCAACTTCTTCATTGTCAACATTAAAGTGTAGAGTTCTTCTGTAGTCATGATTTTTCTCTTCTTAATGTTTAAATGTAGTCCTGCTTTGGCACATTGGTGGTGGTGGTGGGGGGAGAGAGAAAAGGAACGGCAGCCAGTCCTGGCAAGAAGGAAGATGAGAAGTTGACCAGAGACATTGACAAAGGCCAGCAGCGTCTAGGCTTAGAAAGTAGGGAACATTTTCCCCTTTGGTCTGGCTGCCTTTTTCTTACTTGTTTCAAACCAGCATGCTGCCATCTCAGCATTACAAATACAAAAAAATACAATAAAACAGATTAGACTCCAGTGTTTCCTGCAGCCGAAAACTTGTGATCCTGGCACCCATTACTTGACAAACCCCACAAACACTATTTACTCTGTCACAGGTGTTTACATATGCTGGAGATATTGGGAGACAATATCAGACCTGCTTTGAAATAGCTGTTTTAAAAAAAGCAACCTTATTGAGTTATTAAGATTATCCTTCTAATAACTTTCAGACTTGAATCACCCACCCGGTCTCTAAGCATGGATGCGCCACGAGGAGTTTTTATAAAAGCACAAACTGGAGAAATTGAGGCCCTTTCTCACCTGGACATCAAGCTCCACAGCAGTGATGGCACGGTGAGATTTTAATCAGTATTTTTCATTTCACATTAAAAAATAGTTTGGCCTAAAGCCCCAACTTCTGATTTTTGGAGGAGGGTTGGCACAATTCAGCATGCTTCTGATCCAAATGGAGTTGTGGCTGTGACCTTATCTCAGGTTACAATCCTGTGAAGATGGGTTGTGACATTAAAAGGGAGAATGGAGAAACCCCCTAGTCTATTGTCATATTTTTTTTTAAAAAAAAATTCTCTAATTGACACAGTGTAATTCTAATATATTGGAGGTATCTTTCGTTACAATATAATATGTATATCATGCTAGGTTGATGCACTGCTGTTTCGCTACGCTACTTATAATAACAACAACAGAAGTCACTGCAGCTTGCTGAATGACAGCCGCAGGGAAGGGTTCTATGTCAATTTTAGGGGCTCTGCCTCAACAGAGCCACAGCTGAGAAGAAAGGAGGGGAAAGGAGGGTTATCCCCATAGGAGAGGCCCAACATTTTCCCCTTGCACCATTGAGATAACAGATCACACTAAAGATCAGAACCTTTTAAACCCAAACCAGACCGCTCCATAGCCCCTTGTCTGAGCAGGCCCTTAGTCTCTTCATACCTTTTGAGATGTTCACTTAATGCAACTGTTCAGAGTGACTTCCCCCAAGGTATTAGTAATTTTTTTCTTCCTAATTAGAGCATGTTGAGAAGAATACATGATATTCTTGCAACTTACACTTGCAAATTAATAATACAACTTCTGATGCTTTGCACAGTAAAGTACCAAAACTGGGGGGGGGGGGGCAGGAGAGGATCCCACCCTTATTAGCCCTTTCTGAAAGAGGTCTCCTGTACCTTCATTTGTTTCAAGACTTTAACATTCAAAATAATCTCCTTTGTTCAGAAGTCTCTTCTGTATTTACAGAAATCAATTCAGGAGACATAACTGAATAGAGTATGCCTAACAAAGTAGAACACTTAAAACCTTTTTCTTTGCATTATGGCTGCCTCAATAAATGTGCTTCTTTCTTGCATGTAGGTTATGCTTGATGCTGAGACTTTGCGAATGCCCAAACTGCCTCAAGGAACAAGTGGAGAGTCTGAAATAGCACAAGAACTCTATGAAGTTTGTGTTTGCCTAGATGGACGACTGTACTTAGCAGAGGCTGATGTGGTTTCAACTTGCCTAGAATATAATGAGGTTTGTCAATAAAACACACTAAACAAACCACTTTCTCTGGCCTTTTTTGCCAGGATTTATAGTATTGAATACAGAACATTACTGACAAGGGAATAAATATATACACTGGCTGCACTAATGGAACAGAACTAGTAATTTAAAATTATATTTAAAATGAATCCTTCCACCAAATAAAATAAATGTAAGCAACTATACTGAAAGTCTAAAAAGAACTTGGTCATCAATATATCTGCTGTTAATATAGCATTCTGCAGATATGCTTTACTTACAGCACTTCAGTGTTTTTTTTAAATGAAAGCATTAGGAGAGGCCAACAAACCTTTTGTAATTTGGCTTGTGCATTTTAACAAAGTTTAGAAACCTCAGCTGATGTAGGTTGTAACTACAGTATTTTTAAAAATCCTTCGGTCTGCTGAAGGGAACACATTTTCTCTAAATTTAAGCACTCTCCCTAATTACATCTCAGTTTCAATGGCAGTTCTGTCATATTAGCAGGAAACTTAACAGGTGGTAATGATGCCAGGTGTTTAATATCAAAGTCCACAGGTGATTTACCAAGCTCTAGCAACAACTTTCTCAAAGGTTTAAAAGGCAGTAGCGCTTTTAAGGAAATATCCTGATACTGAAAGAGAGGTTACTTACCTGTAACCATGGTTCTTCAAGTGGACCTCTGTGAATTCACACAATGGGTTTCAACTAGTGTGATTTTAACCAGAGATGCAAGTATTTGTATTTATATATAAATACAAATATCCCCGTACAGGTGGTGATAACGAGGGTCCAGCCCCATGGGGCCAGACGGTCCACTCACCGATCTGCCACTGCCGCGGACACTATGATTCTTCCAATGGTCTCACATATCGCGATTGGCTAACCTCTCCTGGCAGGAGGTGGTAAGACAAGCCTCGCTGTTAGGTTGAAGAGTTGCTCGCAGATCTGCAAATCTGCAAAGCTATTGGAAGAATCACGGTATTCCTTGTTATTTGCCACCTGTGCAGAGATATATGAATACCCCCATCTCTAATCTCAACTAGAAAAAATTAAATCATGATATCTTGCTCTTAGATCAGTAGGCCATAACACTTCCGCCACATATAGATTCAGTTTGAACTTGTTGATCTTGGTCTGCCCATACTATTCATGTGCTCAAACAATAATACACTACAGAGTCTAATTCTGAGGAACTTAGAAAAATAACAGCAAAGAGTCATTAGGATACATGAAGTGTGGCTTTCTCCCTATATTGCAGCCATTTGTCAAATTCCAATTTTGCTGTGAATGTTATTAAATTTTATATATATTTTGTGTTGTTTTAATTATGGAAATAGATGTCCTTTAATGCAGTAGTCCCCAACTTTTATGCCTCACAGACCAGCTGGGGAAGGTGGGGTACCCTCCTGCACTTGTGCCCATGCGTGAAGGCATGCACTCTCTTGTGCAGACACAGGCGCTCATGCACAGGCGCAAAGTGCAGCGCAGTGCTCGTGTGCAGGCGCAAACAGGCTGTGCAGGGGGAGTGCGTGGTGGAATGGGGGGGAGGTTTCTCTCCACAGCCTGGTCCTGCTCAGGCCACATTCTTGGTATCTTCAGACTCCATGGGGACTGCTATGCATTGTGGGTCTGAACTAGGGTTAGGATTAGGGCTGGAGTTATAGTCACATATCTGTATTTCCTGAACCTACTTAGAATTCCAGTGTCCTCACCCTGGCAAACAAGATTAATCTTTTGAGAACCTGAATTTGTAATTTCTGCTTCTCAGCATCATAGATTGCTAAAAAAATGTGACGAAATCCATAACACTAGCTAGGACAAAAAAAAATGGCTAGCCCACCAGCCACTCTGGAGTGATTGGAAGAGCGAGGCCCCTGTGGCCAGACCCTCATTAACTCTAGCTGTGCAGGGGTATTTGTAGACATCTCTACTTAACAACTTTTTGGCTGATCATAAAATGCCTCGTAGGACTAGTTCTGTATAAATTCAGTGGCAAAATTCCATCTAAGTGGATAAGGATTAAAAATGGAGGCAAGAAAACTATGAATATTTGGATCAATTTCCAAACAGATAATATTTCTTGTTGCAGTACAAACAACAGTCCTATGGCACTGTTAGAGACTAACACATGTACTATATATGAACTCCCGCGGACTGTAGCCCACCTTATCACATGTACTGTATATCAGTTGTATTTAATGCATACTGAATATACTTAAACAGTCAATTTCATTCTAATGCTATCATTCTGAAGCTGCATCTATTAAAAAGTTATTAGAGTGGTACTGTTTGATTTTTTCCCCGAAAGGAACTAAAATGGCAAGGTAATGATTATATGGTTTACCAGGAAAAAAATAGAAGAAAAACAAGGAAGAAAACTTGCGAAGAGGCTAGAGCTGAGTCCTCAACTTAACCAATTAATGGAGAAATGCTCACTCCCAATCTATACTGGAAAAAACCCAATGAAAGAAGACTTATTTAGAGATTAACACATCAGTCTGGATACTTTTTGAGTTTATTATTAAAATTATTTTATGGCACTTAACAGCAGGAATAATCACGTAGCTTTGCAATCGTAATACAGATTTCAAAGCCTAGAATCTGTTGAGATACTATTCACACTGAAAGCCCTTTATTATTTACACTTAACTGCCCAAAGAGCTTTTATTAACATTATTTCCATTTGTATTGCAATGATTTTGGTACTAATCTAAGTTCATCTCACCCTTTGACATTTTACATTCTTTAAGTTACATTACAACTTCAGTGTACTAATCAGGCAAATAATTATACGACAGGTAACAATGGAACATAGTAATAACCATAGTAGAGTTATTATACAAGTTTTCATGATCTTGTTTTTACAAATACTGAATAATTTACATGTTATTATCAAAAGTATTACAATTTATAAAAGAAGGTATGAACTAAAAACCAGACATCTCATTTGACACAGTGTGGGACAAAATAAAAAAGCATAACATTGCAGCACCATTTAACCAATGATGGCTCACAAAAAAATAGATATATAAGCAAAACGAAAAGCTGAAGCAAGGCAACTTCTGAAAATATAAGTTTTGGGGTGCAGTATGGAAAAATATTTTGCTAGGTAATGTATATGCAATTGTCATCCAATAAAAGACGTAGAGGTGTCAAAAACACAAAACATTGTGAAGAAAATGGATCATGTTGAAATAATTCAGCAGCTAAGATTAAAATACTGTGCTGTATCAAAGGTCCCTTATTAACCTCTGATGTAACTTTTGATGTAAGACTACATTCAATCTACCGTAAGAATCCGCAGCCAATCTGAAATAAATGAAGGTCTATGACAAACAAACATATGCGGAATACTCAGGAGTCACTTTTCTGCAGATTTACTATTGGACTTGAAAAGAGTAATATACCAGTCTTGTATTAGTACACTGAAAAATGATACCTCTTGGAAACATAACATTGAATATATACACACATACAAACACATTTTACCAACCACGGTCCTATGCTTTGGTTATATAAAGTGCAGTTCAGCCCTGCGAATTGTATCACTGTACCATATACATATAACTGTTTCATAGCTCAGTTTTCCTGCAATCTTTAAATACATATTCTGCTTTGCTATATGAGGCTCAGTTTTAAGAACTCAAATGTAAATTAAATTTCAAATCCTGCACACCTACCAGTTGAACAAGATGTTCACTAATAAACTCAGGTTTGTCACCTGAACTGTTGCAAAACAGCAAGAAGACTTGCAAAGAGGAAGTGCTGGACAGCTGTAATCTTAACCTTTCTCCGATTTGTCATTCCCCACACCCACTCATACCTTCTTCCCCAAAAGACTTCTTCTCGAGTCAGGAGGGGGTAGGAGAAAAAAAACAATGGGCCAACAAATGTGTCAACACAAATAACCTGCCAAACACTTTTCTGCTTAAAACTGCTTTGCAGTTGGTTCACCAAAGCATTTCATCTGCCATATACATACTGTATTTATAAGCTGCTTTCTAGAAAAATGCATACCTCCAAACTACAGGAATCGGGCAAGTAAATTACATTTTATTCTATCACATTTAGGATGCAGATCTTGCTAGCAAATGTGTACTTTTACCACATGCCTTGCTGTGATCTCTGTAAGAGGATAGCTTCCCCTGCTGTCAAAAAAGGCATATCACGGACTACAAGACTCATTAATAGTAACATGCCACCAAAAAGTAGCTTGGAGGAAAAACTCTGGCTGCAGATATACCATATATGTTTCTGTGAATTTACCATTACCCTTAACCTTTCCTCAGACCTTCTGCTGTATGAAGTTTTCAAGTTTTATTATAATGCATGCTGTACATTCCATTACTCTCATTGCAACTTCAGAAGTGAACCTGTCATTTGGAATCTGTGGAAAAGGAAGAAGGTCTGGATAGCGGGTTTTTAAGCTATCCACCCCATATGCTTCCAGTGTGTGGACATCATTTGTAAGACCTTCAAGCTGCTGACTATATTCTTCTATTTTTTGTGCTAGTGCAGTTGGTTTTACATCTTTATCTGACTTACCCCTTACTGCATAATCAGCAGCAATCAAAGCTAACTTGGTAGACAAGTAACATTTGAAGCACACCCATTCATTGGCATTTTTATGAAGGTCGTTTCTTGCAGCTGAAAAGTTTGCTCTAGCTTGCCTCAACCATCTACGTGCCTCAACAGGATTTCCAACAGATTTAAATGTAGGTGGCACAAAAAATCGCTGAGAATATGAAGGACCTGTAGAAGATGAACATTTTTCTTTAGATTGTTGTCTTTCAGATTTATGGCTTGTTGCTTCCTGATTCCATGAAGTATAAAATCTCTGAAATGAAAATTTATCTGATTGAAAGCGAGAAGCTGAAGATGAAAATGTCCGTCTCGATGCCCTATCTGCATTTTGGTCCATAAAAGCCTGCTTTTCTAACCTGTTGATCTCATTCTGTAAATGCTTGAACACTTCATTGGCTATATCAAGGTTTTCAGAATTTTTGTCTGGATGCCACTTAAGATACAACCTTCTTATAATCTTTTTCCTTTCAGATTCTGGAAGCTTCCAAGCTTGTTCTATAACTGATGTAACTTCTCTTAAAATTTCTGGCAGAGAATTTGCTTTAACTTTTTTAGGAGAATGATGTTTAGAAGAGGAGGAGGAGGAGGAAGAGGAGGATTTGTGACTCTCTCTTCCAGGAAAAAGAGGAGGAATTGTGCGCTGTCCATGTGTTGGAAACTCTGTAGGGCTTGTTGGAGTAGACGGGGCACTGTCTCTGCTCTGAGAACTTTCATCAGGTCTTGAGAATTTGTACAAATCAAGAGAGCTTACTATCTTGTACTCACTGTATCCAATGTCAATCTGATAAATCTTGCCTAAGAAACTGGAATTTTCATCTTCTTCCCTTTCTACTTCCTGTACAATGATAGCATATGTATAGGTTGGATGGTAGGATCCGTAGATATCACCCCCTTCAGCATCAACAAGATAACCAACATATTCACCTGGATAGAAAACATTCATTGGATCCATAAGAAGGGTATAGTGGATTTCAGTTGGTATAGGAGTACCAGGCATGGGCAGTTCAAGTTTTGAGGGCTCTGAAGAGTCATACTTCACACCTAAACTGTCAAGCTTCTCACTAATTCTATAAATGTCATTGCATCCCAACATGGCTATTAGATAAGAAGTATCAGAAATAAGATTATCTGTTGCAGATTTCAGGGTCATTGCTAATGCTAGAAGGAAATTTATATCTTTGCTATCAGAGTGCTGTATATACAGCAGTATTACTGCATTTCCATACCTCTTTAAAAAGGCAAATGTTTCACTTTTACTGTGAGGAATTGGTGCAAACCCCTTAACTCTCAGTGTTGTCTGCAACTTTTCAAAACAAGAAACTTTCAAGCCTTCTCTCAAGGTCTTGCAAAGTTTTATGGCTTTTTCTTCATTGGCTAAAAATGCATTGTCATTTTCATGTTTCATTATTCGAATTAGTCCTGTGATAAATTGTTCAGAAGACAGCAGTAATTGGAGTCTCCCCTGAAGAGAACAAAGTGCTCCGAATTGACAAATTTTGGGTGACTCTTCATCCAACTGCTCCTCAAGAATGCTGCTGAGGAGACGAGGTCGTAGTTTCTGAGGAAACAGCATTATCAACTTAGTATGAAAACCGTGGTCTTTTCCTAAGTAACACTGGCTGAGATCAACCAGCATTTGTACACCTATGTTTCCTTGTATTCTACTTTTGTAATGTGGTGCATCATCAAAAACTAAGATGCTTGATTTTACCAGTCTACCATCTTGACTTGGAAGATAAAGAGCTAGATCTCGCATACTCTCCAGGTCATTTCTCACCTTAACAGAATCATTTTGAAGACTTTTAAACAGACCAGAAACAACTCGTTTAACAGTACGCATTTCGTTAGGATCAAGTTGTTTCCCTTCAGAGTTCTTGAATATACGACTCAGAACCTCAACATACTGCTTTGTTGAAATGACATCTTCGGTGCCCAGGTGCTTAAATAACTGATGAAAGGTACCAAGTTCTAATGGAAGTTTGTACAAGTAGGGTTTGAAGTCAGATTCGTACTCAAGATTTATTACTACTTCCTCAGGTTTCAAGAGCTTCCAGCCTTCTTCAACCATCACAAAAGCAACTCCTCGAAGCTGAAATCTGAATTCCCTCTTCTCTGTGCTGAGAAATTCATAGATGCTCCTCAGGACCTTGGCCCTTGTCTTTACCATATCCTCATCCAAAGTTGTTATATTACAAATGTTTCTGCAATTATTTATAACTTTGTCCAGAGGAGGATCCAAATTGACATTAAGCATAGTCAAAACCTGCTCAAGTTGTTCCTGGGGACCAAGGCTGCTTCCTTCTTGTTCTTTGATGCTTAAAGGTGTCGCTTTCTCTGGAAGGATAGGACATGAAGTCCACAGAAGCTGCAAAACATCAGTCTGTTTGAATTTGGGGTTTACTTGGGCACCACTGAATTTTATAAGTGGGAGTGTTCCATTAACCTCTTGGTACTGTGGATGGAATCTTACAATTTCTGCAGGAGCACGTTCAGGACACAAGAATGCAATTGAAGATAATTCTTTAAGGAAATTTCCAGAGAATAAGTCAGTTCTTTCTTGAAATATATGGTGAAGAAGGACATCCACTGTATTCTGTAGTGTATCCTTAGTCCAGCTTTCAGTGTTAGCTCTCATACTGATTTCTTTGGCAAACTGCAATAGCTGCTGCTGGGAAATGATGTGTTTCAATCCCATGTTTCGGAGGAATGCTACCCATGATGTAAGGAATGCAGCACGATTTTTTGGTTTTGTGAGCTGCTCTAGCTTTTTAAAGAAGTCTTGGGGGATAAAAAGTTTTTCAGGAAGCATAACTTCGAAGACTCTTATAGTCCTATCATAAAAATGCTTTGCAGGTTTCAGTCTATTACATGCATCATGAATGATAAGAAAGCTCTCTAACTTCTCAAACAGTTGTTCCTTTATTTCTGATGATTCTTCAATGCTAGACAGCCTGTTCTTCAAGTAAATGAGATGTTCTAGTTTTGCATCATATGACAGACTTTCGATCTTTGGCAAAAGGTGCTTCAAATAAACTTCAAGGTCATCTACAGGAACGCAGCCAAGCAAAGTGTACAAGTCTTTTAAATGGATCTTCTCTTCAAGAAAAGCAGTGGAGGTTGATTGTGTCCACTTATCCACTTCAACTGATGGAATATTTCTTGTAAGCACATAACATGCTCCAGATTTCATAATGCTTATATATCGTCCACTGATAGATTTATAGCATGGAAGGGACCTCAAAATTTTAATGTCATCCTGAGATGTTAAGTGACTTAAGTTGCAATTGAAGTACATCAAGAGAGCTTCAAAGTCATTCTCAGCTAACCTTTCTGTTTTGAATGTTGACGTTTGAACCATGTAATGTATAGCTCTCAAAATACTTGGAGGATTATCTATATTTGCTGTATGCCCAGACAATAAGGGCACTAAAGCATTGTCCTTGGAGCAAATTTTATTCAATGCAAGTTGGATGCAACCAGTTTTCATTAAAGCATGGAAAACTTTATCAGTCTGTGAATTTGGGAAGAGAGCTATATGCATAAGACTGAGAGGAAGCAAGACATCACAATCTGGTACAACCAACTGATTAGAGGAGACAGTAAATTTTGTACCAGGAAGCAAAGCCCAATCCTTCAAAGTTTCAACAACATCATCAAACGTTGGTTTTGCATCTTCCTGCTCATCCTTGGCATGTACAGATTCACTAATAAAATTCCATGTGTTCTTAAGCCAGGATTCACTTGCAAAGTTTTCCTTCCATCTCATACATCCTCTTGTTTTATATTCTCTTGGCAATACAGATGACAACAAATCAGCAAAACTGGTGATGTCAAATACTTTTGCTACATTGCATTTAAGTAAAATATTGCTGTATTTCAAGTAAAGTGTGTTCATAAACAGATCTTTACGAGATGGAATAAGTTCATGATAGGTTGTTAAGAACTTTGGACGCTTGGAATCAAAAACTTGTAGAACACTGTCAAGTGTAATGAGCAGAGGTAAGCCTTCAATCTGGATTTCATTTTCTTCTGCATCTTTAAAACAATAATCAACAAGAAGTTTTAGACTGTGAAAGAGTTTTAAATTTGTCTGCTGGAGCCGACAAGGCAGTTTTCCAATGTGACAATTAGAATCTGGAGAGGAAAATGTCATCAAAAATGATCGCACATCAGCAGGAGTCACGTAGCTCACAGGAATGTCAGCATCCACAAGACAGTGATAAAGATTTGCAGTTTCATCACAGCTATAGATCAGACTAAATCCAATTTCTAAAAGGAGATGTTTGAGTCTATACACATTTTCTGCCACTGTTTTCCGTGTTGTTATGTTGTACTCTACATTTTTTAGGTGCTGCAGCTCATCTTGTAAAAGATTGTCAAAAAATGGCCTAGTTTTGCTTGAGGTAGACATATTGACCCAAGTAATGATAACTGCAGAATGCAAATCGGATCCATCAGCACTTGGAGCTCGCACAACAGGTAGGAGACGTTTTGATTCCTCATGAATGCAACTGTAAACTGCTTTCACTAAGCAATACCAATCAGGTTGTAGATCAAGTCTGTTAACTGGGAAGAATGACAGAAACCTTTTCAACGTGTCTTTCACAGTATGCATAGATGTGTTTTGTAGTACTGACACTGTTGGATCAGTCCCTTGAAAGTAACGTTTTTTCAACTGAATCAGAAGTTCAACATAAGCTGGTGCTATCAATGCTGTCATTAAACTGTTATTCCAGTCACTTCGCACTCCAACCCCATTATCATCACGCCACAAATTTCGTCTGGCAGAGTCCAGGGCAAAGTGTCCATTCACATGAAATGGTAACCCAGTTTCTAGAGACAAAGGTAGGAAACAAAATGCTCTGTGGGGTTTTTTGTAGTTATGAGTAATACATGCAGCAACTCCTCCTCGGGGGAAAAGTGTAATATCTTCATTCTTGTGGGCTGACACAACACTCTTAGATACTTTTTCAATAACTGAAAAGCCTGACCTGTTGCAAATGAGCCAGGTAGTAAGATTACCTTCAGAGTCTTCTGTATCCATAGTGTAAGTGATTTGCTGTACAGGTATCTCACTCAGCTGTTTCTTCTTGGTTACACTGTCAATTACAGAAGCATGGAACTGCTTTCGTTTAAGCCTATCTCCATCAGTTATTTTGCCAGTTACAGAATATAACACATTAAGTGCTCCTGTTGATTTCTCAATTTCACAAATAGAAATTTTTTCCATGTGGTTGAGAAACATCAAGAGTTCTGCTCCATCTGTACGAAGCTTATCTAAAAGATTTTGCACCATTCTATCAGAAGAAGGCACTGAGGAGATTTCTGAAACTTTTGCCATTTCTCCATTTCGAAGTGGAAACCTGAACATAGTGCAATTTTCTAGTTTGAAGTGATCACCCAAATAAAGATTCAACACATCGGAGAACTGTGTTCTGAAATCAGCATCCAGGTCTCTAAACATGCGTCCAGGACTAATTGATGTTGCACCTGGTGCATATCTTGCATGAGGATCAAAGATACACAATATATCATTACCAGAAATGAAAGAAGGACAGTCAGTTATATGATACACAGAATTGAATCCTATACCATACTGTCCAGTTTTACATGGATTGCCTTCTTTAGTGCCTTTTCCAAGGTTCTGAATTCCTCTAATGTCATCTTCAGTAAACGGCTGATTATTAAAGACACACAGAGCGGGGCCTTGAAGTGGTGCCCATTTTTCATCAAATATTCTATCAACTGGATGCTGCCGAGGGTCAAACACAAAGCACACTTCTGTAGCCTTTGCATCATCTGCATTCTGAAGGAGCTCTTTCAGCATTTCTTTCTCAGAAGGATATGCATTAAGAATACTTTTAATTCTGCTTGTTAATTTTTCTTTCTGCCCAAACTCAGTCCCAAGACTAGTAAAACAGATGTTTGAGGCATACCGTTCTAAGGCCTTATGTCGCTTGGGTATAGCCCCAAGCTTTACTGCCACTTCTCTTGGGATGTCAGGATGACAATATTTTACAGTTGTGTCTTTCACTTTTATCCAAGGACAGTCATTGTAACACAGAGAATTAGCAGGCAGAAGGGCAAGATGAGTATCTGGTAACAAAATTTCACCATACTTTTTTTTGCAAAGGTCTTGCTTCTTTTCTCTAATGAGACCCCATATTCCTTCACTGATGATTCTCCTACATAGTTGAAAATTTTCTTCAGTGAGTTGTTTAGTCCCTCTTTCCTCATTGATTAACTGAAGGACAAGAGCAAAATCTTCCACTGTAAAAGCATGACACACACCTACATTTTCAAACAGTTCACGAAAACTATTCCTATATTTATTAGGCAATTGATGGAGATAAGGTGCAGCCTCAAAGTTCAAATGAAAAGACACCTTTGTAGGGTCAACATAGCCATTTTCAACTAGAATGAAACTGCAGTTTTTCAGCTCCTCTATGATTACTACTTTTGTTGCTCCATTTTGTAGCAGGGCTTCGTGGAGATATTTATAGCAAGCATTTGTGATGTTTTCCTGATACAAAGTAATTCCATCAAATAACTTTGCAACTTCTTTCAGTTGGTTTATTACCATATTGATGGTGGGTTTCTTAAGCAAGCCTAAAAATTCTTTGACTGCTAGGGAAATGTTCCCACAACCTTTAAAGGAATGAGAATTTTCATTAAGAATTGGTTTTAACAGACAAACTATATCTTGATAATCAGTGGTGAAAAGGTCCATCGCTGAAAACATAGTTTCTGGTTCGAAATCAGAGCCCTTCCAACGCAAAGAGAAGCCTGCTGGTTTTGTAAGAAATGGAAGGAAAGGTATGGTTTGAAATTTTGCAGCAAATTCTTTAGATTTGGTATCTCTGCATTTAAGTTTCTCATCTATGAGACTTAACAGTATACTGCTTCTGAGACAAGCTGAAGCATGATCAGTCCTATTGATAACTTCTACCGATTCAGAACGTTCAATCAAGTCTTCCCATAAAATATCATCTTTCGCCATGCCTAACTGAACTAACTTGACCAAAATAACTGGATTAAGGTAATCTTGACTGGTGCCATGGGGAAATCTTCCATCTTCTTTATCATACAACCTTGCAACTCGACCTTCAGGATGGATCAGTCTAGAAGGTTCCACCAGAGGATGATCAGTCAAAGAACAAGGAATACATGGTGTAGCACTAAGAATTTCTGAGAACTCATTAACCTTTTCACTTAGAACATAGTACATTAAAGGATCACGGAGTTCTGCCTCAATTTCTTGAATATTTGGGAAAAACACTTCAGAAAAGAACTGTCTCTCTGAAAAAGTATTCTCCATTAATATCTGCTTACATCCTGCTTCTTCAAAGCCTGTTTTGACCCAAGAAGGAAGATCTACAGCACAGAGATTCCTTGAGCCAGTTTTTTTAAGGTATTTGAGAAAAATCTTAAAGGCTGCAGATCCTATGTCTGGACGTTTCAACAGTGAATCATCTAGGAATCTCACATTCTTCATAGACACCCAAGACAAACCATCAGAAAACACTCTGATTGCTTCTTTGCCTTTCATGTGAGCTATTTCCTCATAAAATCCTTGACATATCACTGAAAAATCATCATGCACTAAGTCAGGATCAGGCCACACTGCACAGTAACTGTAATTCTCTAGCTCGCCACAAACTGCCATGTTGCGTAAAACCACAAGAGCTTCCAAATAGGCTTTCACTATAACATGTCGCATGAATATTGTGTTCCACCTTCCTTTTGTGTCAGTTTTCCATATTTCTTTTCGATTTGATGTAACCGCAAAAGAGCCGTTGACGTGAACAGGCAGACCTGTTTTGATTCGAAGAGGTAAATAGCAAAATACTTCTCCCAAGCTGCTACAATTGGGTTTCACTGTCCATTTATGATCCTGTATTTCAGACAACATAACCCCTACTGAACCACATGGAACAAGTCCCAGCCTACGTCCGCTTTCCTGCAATGAAAACTTTAAGGCCTCCCCTGTATCCATACAAGAACATATAAGCCATGTTGTACAATCTACAGTTTTTTGTGGCAGTTCATCAGCAGGCCTTTTTGTCTGTCCAGATTTAGCCATCTCAAAGAAAGAAACTGTGTCATCTTCTGGCCCTCGAAAAACAGGAGAATGCAAGTCAGCTATCCTTCTGAATACATGGTGAAATTCTTCTACTATTATCTGCAATATACACGAGGACTTCGGTGACTCAGTAGGAAGCTTTTTTGTGCTGCCATTGCAGGTTTTCATAAGTTTAGCAGCTTCCTTTAGTACACTTGTAACAGGGGTAGTTACAGCTTTGGACAAACAAATATCTTTTTTAATAGTCACTGTGTCTTGTGCTGCACCAGGATTGGTCTCCTCAGCTTTTAAATATTTCAAAACCATGGAGTTTACACATTGTGTAAAGATGATCAGCCTATGCCCACAAATGCTAAATTCATCCACAAGAGAATAGATGTCTGCAGTATTATAAGAAGTAGTACTTACTTCACTCACTTTAGCCTCCTGTTGTGTTCTAAAAGAGAGTCTAAAAAGTGTCCCATTATAACTGTAAGGTGCCTCCACAGTCAATGGAAGCTGACAACCAAACACATCTATGAATGGCTTGAACTGATTAGGAAATTTTCTAAGTCTTTTCTGTTGTTTACTCCAATTAATCTTTATCCCAGGATTAGATTTATCTCTTATATGTTTACTGAGATGGTTGATGTTCGGATCAAACATGATCATGAATTCTCTGCTGATAATGATGGGAATATCAGTAATGTGGTACACAGAATTAAATCCTAAACCAAATTTTCCAACTTTATCAACTTCTGCCCTTTTTAGAGATTCACCTAATCGAGTTATATTTAGGAAGTCAGAATCAGAAAATTCAGAGTTATTAAAGGACCACAGTGCTGGTCCATGAGAAGCTGCCATTCCTGGATCCAGAAGATTTTCTCTGATGTCATTATTTCTCCTCATGTCGATCAAAAAATTACACTCTGTTGCATTAGCATCATCAGCATTTTGAAGCAACTCTTTGAAGATATCAGATACAGAAGGATATTCTTCCAAAATGTTTTTAATTCGTACTGTGAGCGGTTCTCTCTGACCTGACTGCTCAAATCCCATATTTTCTGGATTGATCAACCTAGTGCTGAGACATGGTACATTCAGCCACTCTGCTGTTTTCATAGGTATATCTTCATGAACTAAAATTATTGGCTCCACAGCATCTTCAAGCAAATCATTTAAGTCATCGACTTTTATGTCACAGTAGCAGCACTCATGAATTGGTTTCATTGTAAGTTTGTAAGGTTTCTTGCTACAGTATATAGGAACAGGGGTATTTAAGCTGGCTGGGATCTGACAGCTGTAGAGCCATCTTATAATATTCAACATAATATGCAGATTTTGCTTACTCTCTTCTTCACTAAGAGATTGTTCACTTTTGAGGTATATTTTCTGAATCACCATGGAAACATGGTCTGGGGTCAACTGCTCAATTGAACCACAACACTTAAACAACTGATGGAATCTAGCCATTGTTTTGGGCACATTATGCAGATATGGCTGGAGATCTAGATCATGTGCTGATTTTATCACTGCTTGAGAAAGTGAGCAAAAGGTTTTACCAGTCCAGACCCAGGGAAATTTCAAGCCTTTAAAAGAGTCTTTTCCTTCATCTAAGTGATCATGCATAAAACCATAGATCTCAAGCAATATTTGCTGGAACTGATAGTAATCTTCATCACTAAATTTTTTGGAACTATGCCAGTCTACAACTACTTTGAAATGTTTTAACACTGATTTTATGCTAGGTTTAACTGAGATCCCAAGTGCTTTTTCAACACTTGGCTGGACACTTTCCACAAGGGGAACAGAGGACCCAACTAATGTCGCTTGAGATAAATCACACATTTCTGGTGGTGAACAAAGATTACAATGATCACCTTTCCAGGTTAATGACCTTGGATAATTTGGAGGTCTTTCCTTACAAGCCGGAATCCATTTAATTTTTTTCAGTGTTGTTTTTGCTTCAGGAGAATGCAGAAGTGAACAATTCTTGTTCAAAATCATTAACAATGTTCTGGCTTTTTTTTTAAGGGCATCGTGATTTGTACCTGCAGACTCCATCAAATTCTCGATTTTATGTGCTACACACAAGATGTCTCTCTCTTCCAAGCTGCTCTCATTTTTTAGACCTATTAATCTCAAAGAATGTAGGATATCAGAAGAGATTTTATAAGTAGTAGGGGGAAAGAAGTGTTCTTCCTCACCATAAAAGAGATTCTGTAACACCTCCACTTCAGAATCAAAAAGCTCACTGGCTGATACCATTTTTCCTTCTGAAATCTGAATGAATTTTAGAGGAGTGAGCCAGTCCAGCACTTCTGCATTTTCATTTTTGAGGAAAGTCAGATTTTCCAGAATCCACAGCATAATTTTTGTTGATTCATCAATAGAATAAAAGTCATTTTGAATATCCTTTAAAATAAACTTAATGCAGTCTGTGCTCTTTAGCTGTTCTGCTTTCAGTATTTTTACTAACCGGATTGTAGCTTCATCACTGCCATTGACAAGTGAAACAGAGAGTTTTATATCAGGTGGAATTTTCGCAGTGTGATGTAGCACTTTGCAACCTTTCAGTGAAATAAAAGCACTATCTTCATCAAGTAATTGTTCAGTTCTCCTAAATATTATTAGTTCATTAATAACTCTCCTTTCTTTTTCAGTAATATCAGTTAAACTGGCAAGGAAGCTCCTAAGTGCATCTTTGTATGATGTGGGAAATGATGCAACCTGATTTGTCAATTTTTGTACAGAAAGTTTTTCCATAATTTGCAAAACTACACTAGGCAAAGGGGGATGCATATATTTTTTTAAAAGTGGATGTTGTATAGAAGGGTCCATTACAGTTATCACAATGCCACCAAGTTGCTCAATGATGTCAGCTAAAAATTCTGGAAGCTGTGTCTCAGATCCATCATCTAGAATAATTGGTGATGGAGTCCTTAGTCTAATGAGTTCCACTACTTCTTTGTCTTCATCTAGTAATGTCCTTGGGATAAGCGGCATGTCATAGAACATGGACAAATCTTCAGAGAAATGTATATAGAGGTTCTTCCATACCATTTTAAGCCATGAAACAGGTGGGTGATTTTTATCTTTCGAAAATGGAAACCACTCTACCGTTATTTCTCTACTAGGCCATAAAGTGTTCATAATTTCTTTGATGAGGCGTGCAAATCGTTCAGGGTTCAGAAGCTGCAACTGGGTGCATGGCCTTCCTGAAATAAAAAGTAAACGCTCGTAAAAACTGGAAAACAATTATAAAGATTTTTGCATAGTAACAAATCACAAAGAGAAGAAAAATAGAGTTGTCTAAGAGTTCTCCCACAAAACAAATTTGATATTCTACTCAGTTATCTCAATCATCTTGCGGAGGGGAATAAGAAGACCAATCACTGTGGATCATTTTCAGCAGTGGTGGCAAGAGCAGTATTTAAATATTTCCACATTACAATTCTATGTATGTTTACTCAAGAGTCAGCATTCCCACTGAAATTTACTTCTAACTTAAGAATATACGGTATAACACTACACACATTCACATGAGGTGTTTCCTCTAAGTAAGTGACCTTACTGATAAAACCACTTGTGTATATGACTACAATGTAAATATCGAAGATTCCTATAGCACCTTAAAGATTAGCTGAGCTATTATAGCATGTACGTTTTCACTGACTAGAGCACATGTGGGCACTTCCAAGGCCCAACTCTGTCTCCCACTCCAGAACTCCCACAGGTTATCTACTGGTTGTTGGCAGCTGTACTATGACAACCTGTCATACCCCACTGTAGCTTAGAAACAGAATTTAATCAACAAATATGTATTGAATTGAACTTATTTGCTTAGGCCTAAAAGATAGAGTGCATACAATGCATGAATTATCATTGTATATGCCTGACCTTTGTAACCTCTGCCAGTAAAAAGACAATAATGAGACTGCATAAATAGTTACAGGAGCATGATGTATGACAAACAGGCATGTTCATGACTGTGTACAGAATTGGCTGGAATGGAAAGACAAACTTAAGAAGGTGCTCATGACAATTTGAAAAGCTCATTATAAAGCAGAAGTAAAAATTTGTAACTTAGTAAGTGTCTTATAAATATCAATCGTGTCCCATTTGCCTTTGGTTTCTGAACTGTATTGACCCAGGGTAATCTGTGCCATTGCATGCATTCTCTTATAATAAAATAATACCTGTGAAGAACAGTCTTTTTGTTATTGATCTTTAAAGATATTTCTCACGTAGCAACACAACATGCTATTGAAATTCAGTAATACAGTTTTCAAGGGTGCTCTGGGCCGCAAGACATCTCCATCTCTCTTAAACCTACCCTACACTAAATTCTTCATGAGTATTAGTCTGTTTATAAAGTTATATTTTTCCTTAAATATGCATAATTTTCTCCTGCAAGATCAGCGGGACCTTTTTTTCTCATGGTTTTACTGATTAAATCTACAGATATATAATTTATGCTTATTTTCATTTCCAGCATGCAACTATCATTCCACTCATGCAAATGCACACACACTAACATCTCCTCTCTCCAAGAGATGTTTCAACTCAATACATAACTATAAATCTGCATAACAATTGATACTCCTTATGAAACCTAAACGGACATTTGAGCACACAGAAATACGTTTTTATGAGAGACTTATTTCCGCTAAGTATCTTATGGCTAACCTTGGTTATAGAACAAGCAGAGACTCAGTAGGGTTTATTTAAGCATTGGTTTGTTTTTCATCAAATTATTCAGTGCTTTGCTCCCTAATTGAAATTAACAATAAGATGTTGGCTTCAATCTTTAATAGTGGTAGTGATTCCCCTTTTCAAGGCATATTTTGTCTACTCCCTTTTCTTCTTGACATGTTCTCTTGACCATTGGTTTTCTTGCCTTGATACGTGGGGAAATGACACATGGGCTGAAAATCTGATTTTCACACTATTTACAACTCTGCCATGGAAGGTTTTTTAAATGTCTCTGTAAAATTTGTCACACCAAGAAGCTATGAAAAAGATGCTCCTAGGTTTTACTACACTTTATATAGTTTCAACTACTTAAGAGTATTCATCTGGTGTATTATCATGATTAAGTAACTACTTTACTCCTTTCAAAATATTACAGTAGCATACATTCTTGAGAAGATGGAAATGGCTTGCCTTTTCATTACCTTTCTTAATGATGCCTAAAATGTCTTTATTAATAGATTTGGAAAATTAATATGATCTTAATTTTAAAAATTATAACTAAAGACACCGTTTCCATTGGCCTAAAATACATTACACTTATATGGACTTGGAGATTTCATTTATTGCCAAAATGACTACCTTTGGTCTGGTTCTGTTTTTTTTTTTTTTTTTTAATATGGACTTGGAAATTCCATTTATTGCCAAAATAACTACCTTTGATTTGGTTCTGTTTTTTTGTCTTATTGGGACTTTTCAACTCCTGCTCATGCATCCAATGATGTTTTTAAGCTACTAATACTTGGACTGTCCAAGCTGGTAGGCAGTGATCCCAGACTGGTATGAAACAACCACACAAGCACACAAATGTTAGAAGTAAAAACAGGCCATGGCTTTATTGATAATTAATGCCAACAGTATTGGTGTTAACATGTAGGGCGGATCAACAGCCGACATATCTATAACTGTATATCCAAGGTAGAAACTAGGGGTAATTATATACCGTAGGTGTCTGCATGTGTGGCTCCTTCCAGCACCCCTAGAGTCTCCCGAGCTGACGCCCATAATGTCCCTCTACCCTATCCCCGTAAAGAAAATCCACTAGGCATGATCCAGCACCTGCCTGATGCTACTCTCATCCAATCTGATCTGTCTACATAGTTCCAACTGCCTCTAACAAAGCTGTGACAGAACAAACACAACCCTTTTATTTACTTCCTAAAACACCAAATAAACAAAGGGCAGGAGTTCTGAAGCAAAAAGGCCACTACAAAACCAACATCCTCTTTTACTTTCCCCAGAAGTGGCCCAGATTTGAATCTACCAATCCAGACCACTTGGGGAAAGATAACCCTGTCCCCATTCCACCTGATTGACTGGGGGTTGCTATTCCAGAATTCTCTATGTCACCATGTTACATCCTGGGCAAGAGACAGTTGGCAGCCTCAAAACAGCAGCCACCACATCATCCCTGCCCACTGCCATCGCTGGATGACAAAGCTGCTTGGCAAGTCAGGGCTGTTGCTTAAATCCAAGTTTGGTTTCTGAAGTTTACATTATTACTGTGATGGTTTCAACAGTTTAATTTAGTTACAGTGGTGCCCCGCATAGCGAGGTTAATCCGTTCCGGATTAACCCTCGCTATGTGAAATCGTCGCTAAACGGAATGTAAAAGCCCATTGGAACGCATTAAACATTGTTTAATGCGTTCCAATTGGCCCTAAACTTACCGTTCAGCGAAGTTTCTTCCATAGTGGCAGCCATTTTCGCGCCCGGTAAGCGAGGGGAGGGCGCGAAAACGCTGCATGCGGGGTTCTTAGCTGCCTTGAGCATTTTCTTTTTATACTTCAAGAACTACACTTAAGTACCTAATTCAAAGCGATTTATATTTTGCTTATAGCAAAATTAGGTTTATATAAAATAGCATGATTCACATATTTTAATAGTGAATTTTTTGAACTTTAGGTAACCCGACATAAGTGCGCAATGTCAATTACTTTTCAAATATGCTTTGAGTAGTATTAGTAGATGTAAATTGCACCTGACAAAACATGTTTGGACAAGGGCAATAACCATGACCAACAAACAAACCATCCAGCAATTAAACACACACAAATGGCAGGCTTCAATTCAGAAATTAATTACCCAGTCAATTGTCCTACCTGAAAATCCCCAGAGAAGCTGCTGGGCTAAAATACAATGAAATGCATTTTAAAGGAGGATGGAAGCTACCACTATTATTTATCAAAATGATACCACATAATGGTCTCATAAGGTGTCTCTGATGTTTGGCAGGGCTCTTTGTAATTGCAGAGATTTTTCCATTCTTTCCTATAGGAACAATATTGATTGCTATTCTTTTTTCTCATAGTCATTTGATGATAGCACATAATGGTCTCATCAGGTGTCTCTGATGTTTGGCAGGGCTCTTTGTAATTGCAGAGATTTTTCCATTCTTTCCTATAGGAACAATATTGATTGCTATTCTTTTTTATCATAGTCATTTGATGATTATATTATTCTTTTATATATTATTTAAACTCTTGTTAGCTGCTTTGGATTCTTTTAGTAAGGATACATATAGAACAAAAAGCCAGAGTATTAAATGGACTGACATGGAAGCTACTATATTTCAAGCCTGTACCTTATATTCTTAGTAGTGTCTGCTGGAAATTAATACCATTAGATGATATGAGAAGAAACAATGTTTCCTCGCGAAGATTTAAAGAAGGATGCATCATCTGTGCATTGTTTTCTTCTCCCTTTCTTTTTTGCTCTGTCAGCTACAAATAACTGAAAGAAAATACACCAGCATCTCCTTTAACCTTCAGAGATTAAAGATGGTTTCTCCCATGCAGGATAGATTCATGTACTAATTGTTGGATATATTGCAACCTACATATGATACCTTTGAGATATTTTGGCTGGGAGGGACCCTTCTGGACTGGGGTAGATATCAGTCACCTCAGTAACACCCAATTATTCCCTCTTTATCTCGAGAGATTTTGGGTGGGAGGGACCCTTCTGGACTGGGGTGGACATCAGTCACCTGAGTAACACCCAATTATTCCCTCTTTATCTCAGATTCTTTTTCCTGCCTTTTTTTCATTCAGGGGTCTGTCAGTTAGCTATGGAGTCTGTCAGAAGTGGGCAGTTAAGAGTGATGTGTTTTGTCGGCTATGTAACCAATCAGTTAGTCAGTAATGAAGCTAGTTAACCAGTTAAGCTCAGTGATGTAGCAAATTAAAATTTGTTTACACAATATGTTTGCTTTTTACCTAGGAAGATAACAATTTTTTTTTATTATTTCTCATTATCAGAGTCTCTGAGTGAATGCATTGAGACATAGTCAGTTGAGGTAAATTAACAAATAAGGGGGATATACTGAGGGAGACTGCAGCTCAATCTGTAAGGTTGAATTTTTACCTGCTGTGTAATTAGAGGATGTTTACTTTTTTAGCCACAGTCAATTCCTCACACACTCTGCCCAAGACTAGCAACTTCAAGGTAGAATGTTGAAGTTAATTGTCACTAACTGACAAGGTATACAGGCACACCTTGGTTGTGCAACTGAGTACATGACTAGGCATACAACCAAATACACCTTAGTTCCATGTCAATTGTTGTTGTTGTTTAGTCGTTTAGTCGTGTCTGACTCTTCGTGACCCCATGGACCAGAGCACGCCAGGCCCTCCTCTCTTCCACTGCCTCCCGGAGCTGGGCCAAATTCATGTTGGTTGCTTCAATGACACTGTCCAACAATCTCATCCTCTGTCGTCCCCTTCTCCTCTTGCCCTCACACTTTCCTAACATCAGGGTCTTTTCCAGGGAGTCCATGTCAATTAGTTTTGGTAAAATACACAAACCATACATGAACATCAGTAAGATTCTGGTCATTGTTTCTATTCATCATTTATGTATTGCCCCCCATACCCTGATAAGGGAGCGCAGAAATCTTAGACCCAACTGTTGAGACACCATTCCTTATTTATTCTCAGGGGAATACCTCAACAAGTTTTCTCTTTGTCGTGAACCAGGCTGCTTTATCAGGAGTACCATCACAAATAGAAAGTACTTTTATTAAGGAAATACCAAAAATAGAAAACTGAATCAACAATTGAAAACCAACCCCTTCTCTTTGTGTGTCACATGATTTTCACTTCAGTCCATCTATCCTGCATTCAGTACATATTCAAGATCCATTAGATTATGATGGGAAGATTGTGTTGTCAATGAATGTGGCAGAAAACACATCAATATTATTTGTAACACTTTTGGGCGAAACAAAACATGCAGTTTTTCTACAAAGAAGAACATAACTAGTGTATTAAATTATTAAATAACATGCAAGTATATTAATTTAAATATCTTTAGAGAAAACCTGACAAACTATTGTCAAAATACAACAGTCTCATAAATATATAAATAAAAGACTGAAGTCCTGTTGCACAACTCCATGGTCATAAATTGGATGATATCATCTGCCACTGATGTTACTTTTTAATTCAATTCAATTCAATTCTTCCGGTCAAGACCTCCCAAAAAAGGTTACAACTCTCCTTAGAGATCTCTTTCAAACTGGGGAAGCCTTTGGGAGCTTCAGGACAGAAGCAGGAAGCTTTTAATATCCAAAAAATCACCACTACCACTCCTGATCCTGGCAGTGGGACTGACAGCAGTCCTGAGGCTCCCACAGACTTCTTCAGGTTGAAAGGGATCCCTAGGGAGTCTCGGAAATTGAGTTGGGGGATAGGAAGCTTTAAAAAAATTAAAGAGCAACATCTATAGCTGATGATGTCATTACCATTCACAATTAGGCTGCTTTGCCTACAGAACTGCAGCCAGTGAATTCTTCTTCAATTATTCTAGTCATTATCCCTTGGTTTATATTCATCCGTATCATTTTTACATACTGCAGTTTACTGTCCTGTCCTTTTATTATAACAGAATATATAAATATTTTTACCTCTGCTTTTGGCAGCTTCTTTCAAAGCAGCCAGGACGTGAGGCTTCAAGTCATCAGCAAGTAGTCTTCCTTCAAGACCTGGAAACATGGACCTAGTAAGTCATTAAAAACAGAATATCAATAATCTAAATAATCTGTATTACTTTTCAAAGGCACAAACATTTAAAATGTAACAATGCTGCATATTCTTCTACAGAATTATGAGTAAAAAAAAGATATGTTCCCCTTCTTGTTTACAGCTACCTCTACTCCTAATTAAGAGTTTCAGCAAAGGCTAAACTAATACATCAAAAGTCATACTGTACCTGAAAATAGAGTCCTCATATTATGCACAGTGACATAACCCAACCCAGTCACAAAATACCTTTAAGACAGTACATGAATGTCTATAATCTGAGTATTTTGTATACAGGATTGTATTAATCAGATGCTTTTCAAATGGCATAAAGATTGGATAGAAATTACAATAAACCTGAAATTCAGGGATGCTTTTTCAATGTTATTTAATATTTAAAATGTAGCACATGGCAATCTGGTTGAGTCCCACTCTTTCACCATGTTAGTGTGATGCCTACTAAATGGCAGTAACATACAAGTAGGATACAAGTAGGATCCCCTATTTGCGGGATCAGTATCTGCTGATTGAAAATACTACGTACTGTAAATAAAAACTCACAGAGTGTATTTATGAGACCTGGCCACTAGAGGGAGCCAGAAACCATAATGTATACTGTTTGATACTTCTGCATTTATCTGCATCCATGGGAGGGGGGTGGAGCTTCTGTGGATCCCCCAGCCCTAATGTGTCATCTTATTTTTATATATATATAAAAAAGATTTTGCTTCTCATGCCTTTATTTGTGGTGTGTCGGTTGCAAGTTCCATGAACAGCTCTAACAATGGGGTGGAAAGTAGTTTAATGTATTCTCGAAGGCTTTCACGGCCGGAATCTGATGGTTGTTGTGGGTTTTGGAGGCTCTTTGTCCATGTTCAACAACCTTCAGAACATTGCCAAAGAGCCCGAAAAACACACAACAACCATCAGAACAATAGTTGTTGTGACAAAGACAGTGGTAAAGAGGGGAGCAGAATATAGTCCTTTCACAAAAGCCAGAAACAATGAAGGAGAATACTTTTATTGGACCACTAAAATATTGAAAATAGGTAGGGTTTTGAGTGCAGCAGGACCTTTTTCAGGCTCAGCACTGCACAAATATGAAAGTGAGGAAAGAAACAGGAAAGCCTAAAAATCATCCTGACAGATTCAGCAGTGTCAGGGTCTGAGGTGAAATAATGGCTTAAGATGGAGAATGCAAACTTATTGTGTAGGTATCAAATTTGTTCTCAGGCAAAGAACTTTCTCCATTGCTTTGTATCAAAAGCTATAATTTTTGTTTGGCCAGAAGGCAAGCCAATAGGAAAAGACCAATTTATTTAAAATGTTCTGGAGGAGTTTTAAGGATACTGTGCATCACTGAAGACAAATAAGTAGATTCTAGATCAAATTAAGTCTGAACTCTCACTAGACGTTTTCGTACTTTGGCCATACCAAGAGAAGATAATAATCTTGTGGAAAGCTGAAGGTTGTAGATCTGTTAATTATAGGACCTTTGGTACACAATTAATTTATAGAAACTGCTGGATAGCTCAGTGGTTTAGGTAACTGGCTGCAGAGCCAGAGGTTGAGAGTTCAATTCCACTTTGTGCCTCCTTGATAGGGTCCCTTCCTGTTCTGCAGTTCTAAGATTATTCTTATTATTACGACTATAATCCTGTAAATTGGAAGTAATTTAATAAAAGGCAACACAAACACAGAGAGCCATAAAAAGACAATGCAGTTATGTTTTCCAAAAGCTCTACAATTCTGCCCCATGCAATCCTGAGAAGAAGAGAATTAAACGTTGCAAATTAAAACTTCCCCTCCTAAGCTCTTACCAGTCTACAAAGAGAAACCTTTTCAGGAGCAGAGGAAACATGAATAAGGTGTGTACACCTGTGTAGTACTCTTATACAGTGGTGCCTCGCAAGACAAACGCCTGGAAAGCTGAAGGTTGTAGATCTGTTAATTATAGGACCTTTGGTACACAATTAATTTATAGAAACTGCTGGATAGCTCAGTGGTTTAGGTAACTGGCTGCAGAGCCAGAGGTTGAGAGTTCAATTCCCCTTTGTGCCTCCTTGATAGGGTGCCTTCCTGTTCTGCAGTTCTAAGATTATTCTTATTATTAGGATTATAATCCTGTAAATTGGAAGTAATAAAAGGCAACACAAACACAGAGAGCCATAAAAAGACAATGCAGTTATGTTTTCCAAAAGCTCTACAATTCTGCCCCATGCAATCCTGAGAAGAAGAGAATTAAACGTTGCAAGTTAAAACTTCCCCTCCTAAGCTCTTACCAGTCTACAAAGAGAAACCTTTTCAGGAGCAGAGGAAACATGAATACACCTGTGTAGTACTCTTATACAGTGGTGCCTCGCAAGACAAACGCCTCGCCGGACAAAAAACCCGCCAGACGAAAGCATTTTGCGATCATGTCGGTGACTCGCAAGACAACTTCTTCTATGGCCGTGCTTCGTAAGACGTTTTTCCCCGAAAGATTGATGCCTCGCGAGACGAAAATAATTCATTCATCTTGCGAGGTTTCCCACAGGAATGCATTGCAATGCATTCCTATGGGAAGCCGCTTTTCGCAAGACGAAAATTTCACAAGACGGCACTGAATGAATTACAGTGGGGTCTCGACTTACGAACGGCTCGACATACAAACGTTTCGACTTACGAACCGCTCTAGGTGTGTACACCTGTGTAGTACTCTTATACAGTGGTGCCTCGCAAGACAAACGCCTTGCCGGACAAAAAACCCGCCAGACAAAAGCATTTTGCTATCATGTCGGTGACTCGCAAGACAACTTCTTCTATGGCCGTGCTTCGCAAGACGTTTTTCCCCGCAAGATTGATGCCTCGCGAGACGAAAATAATTCATTCGTCTTGGGAGGTTTCCCACAGGAATCCATTGCAATGCATTCCTATGGGAAGCCGCTTTTCGCAAGACGAAAATTTCACAAGACGGCACTGAATGAATTACAGTGGGGTCTCGACTTACGAACTTAATCCGTATTGGAAGGCAGTTCTCAGGTCGAAAAGTTCTTAAGTCGAATCTGCATTTCCCATAGGAATGCATTGCAATGCATTCCTATGGGAAGCCGCTTTTCGCAAGACGAAAATTTCACAAGACGGCGCTACTCACTGAATTACTTTCATCTTGCAAGGCACCACTATATAAGAGTAAATCTTATATAAAATTAAGATATATAGGTTAGCATCAAATAACCAACAAATCCAATATAAAATATTCTACCTGGGGTAATTTTCTGAAGTTATATAAATTGCATCCTGATCTGATGCAGATGAAGAGAATGATGCAAAATTCCCATTTTGTAATGGTAAAAGCTCCAGTCCAATAAGCTCATTATAGTTTCCATCGCTAAGCACAAAGTCTAAGATATGAAGCTTTTCATCAGAACGTCCCTTATGCCCACATTTTCTTAACACTTGCCGCACTGTAGCAGGAGTCACTTTTTTCACAGGTTTTGTACTAGAAACAATAAGGTCAACTGCATCAGCAATATTGTCTGGTACTTTAGCAATCTTTTTCCCTGAGTCCTGGAGGTAGTTCAGCACTGCCTGAGTGTATTCCAAGCTATCATCCATTTCCGAGAAATATGCTTCTTCCACCTTTATCCAGGTATCACTGAAGGAGTAAATAACTTCGTTCTGGAACAACTCCTTCAAAAGAGGTTCAATAATTGACTGCCAGTGAACTTTTATTTTGCTCTTTTCCGGCCATAATCTATAAATTCTCTCAGCTGACAGAGGAAAATCTGAATTCTCTTCTGTTTCCATTCGTTTAATTGCTTCCAATATGAGGGATGCATAGGCTTTGGGGACCATATTGGCAACAAGGAGCTCATTCCACAAGGCTGCTGGATCTCGCCACTGATCAAGTTCACGCCATTTGATACTTCTCCTGTTATCTGTAAGGCCAAAGAACCCACTAACATGGACTGGGAGCCCTGTCTTGCTTTCCTCACCAGGAGGTAAAGGAAGAAAACAAAATGCTCTTCCTGAAAACTGTGCCACGGCCCCCTTTTCTTCTCCATTGCTTGATAAAGACATAGCTATACCAATAGTTGGGATATACTTCAAGTCATCAGCCAAACAGTCGAGCTCACTACATATTCCTCTTCCTCCAACACTATTGCACACCAACCATGATGTCTTCTGTGCATCTTTAATACTCTCATCTTCTAAAACAATGTTTATGTGGTATGTCACACATGTTATGCTATTACTTGGAATGCCTTTACAATACTGGCTTATTGCACTTCCCAGAATCTTGATAGAATTGGGTCTTTCATGCTTCAAAGCTTTGTTCTCACTCGCAGTCACTCTAAAAATTAGTCGTTCAGTTCCATCAGCTTCCCTTACATGCAGGGAGACATCCTGCACACTTTTAAGGAACAGAAGAACTGTGTCTGCATCTGCTCTAAATGAGTCAAACAATTCCAAAACTTTTTCCTTGTTATACACATTACTGCTCAGCTGGGAAGGCTGCTGGCGAAGAGGGAAACGGAAGAATGTACCCGGGAAGTGTCCATTTTTGAATGTTTCCTTGGTGCTTCCAAACACACCAATAAAAGGTGCAAATTGGTCTGTCAACTCATTAATTTCTTTGATGTCATCTTTTAGATTCCAACACTGACCAGATTCACGAGGTCCAAACAAGGTCTGATGAGGGTCCAGCATTCCAATTTGGTCACCACTGAATATACTAGGGACATCTATAAAATAAAAGGCAAAATATGTTGACCATTAGAATAGCATGCTTATAGTAGAAGTCTGCAACAAGAAAGATTTTTAAAAGCTTCTAAATGCTATCTACACAATAAACCAAACATACTAAATCAAACGATAAAGAAGAACCCACAAAAACTGTGGGGAAGATTCAAAACCACAGAATCTACATTCCCTTTCAAACATGCTGGGAATCAAACTGTGCATAACCTTATATTCTACGAGGAAATTACAGCTGATAGATAACTTTTTTCTGTTAAGCAGCTGATACTCAAAACAACAGTTTTTTAAAACTTCATAGCAAACTTCAAGAGCATGCTCAAATACTGTATTAAGTCATGGAAACAAAATGTTAATAGTTCATTATTTAAAAAGATCACTGCTATAAATACCTGTAATATGATAAACCGAATTAAAACCAATTCCAAATCTTCCAACTTTGAGAGGATCATCTTTCTTTCTGCTTCTTGCTATCTCCTGAATGCCATCCCAGTCCTCTGGGGTAAAAACTGCATTGTTGTACACATAAAGTGCGGGGCCTAACAAGAAACAAGAAACAGAAAAATTATTTTTTTTAATTAAGCTTGTTAGAAAACACAGCATAGATATTTTATGCCAAATGAAAGTACTGAATGTTGTAAAAATACTGACCCAATTAAGTAGATTTTGAATCTAACTAATCTATTTATGCTATTGTTACCTTAGATTTTCAGTGGAAATATGTTAGGTATCAGTGAACAATCCAGACCTCAAATTTTCATATTCTATGGCCTAATACAAGGTTTGGCAGATCCACTTTATTCTAACTTACGTCTAATATAAATTAAAGCTAGCAACAACTCTGAGAAATTAACCGATAGTGCAAGCTTTAAGCATGTCTTCTAAACAAACAGACTGAAGCAACATTTGGGGGGGGAGGTAAGATCACACATTAAAGCAAACGTTACTTCCTTGTTTTACATCATCCCTTGAAGCTAATCAAATCTTTCAGGACTATGTGTCCCTGACACATCAGGCATGCAAACAAAGCCATACTATTTCCCAACAATTGTTTTGATTTCTGGATATAGCTATATATTAGTGGACTTTTTTCACAGGTTTTTTCACAAGAAGAAGAAGAAGAAGAAGAAGAAGAAGAAGAAGAAGAAGAAGAAGAAGAAGAAGAAGAAGAAAGAAGAAAGAAGAAAGAAGAAAGAAGAAAGAAGAAAGAAGAAAGAAGAAGAAGGAAAGAAGAAAGAAGAAAGAAGAAAGAAGAAAGAAGAAAGAAGAAAGAAGAAAGAAGAAAGAAGAAAGAAGAAAGAAGAAAGAAGAAAGAAGAAAGAAGAAAGAAGAAAGAAGAAAGAAGAAAGAAGAAAGAAGAAAGAAGAAAGAAGAAAGAAGAAAGAAGATAACAGGGGTTATGGAGAGATAAGAGACTTCAGTGATGACCTGAAAAGTGTGTGCAGTGTTTGCTTTTTTGCCTGAGAACAATACAGTATACACATGAAGCAAGTGCAAAGTGGTTGCAGTGTTGGAAGAAAAAGTGAAAGAACTGGAGTACTGAGCAGACAAACCTAAGACTGTAAGAGAAGATGAGGAGTACATAGACAGAACTCTTGAACAGCAGCCAAGGACAGCACTGGAGGTGGAAGGACAGCAAGACAAAATAGAGGAGGCAAATGTTAAGAAGAGAATAAATACAGTGGAGGAAGCACCATGGGAAAAAAGTTACAGTAAGGAGCAAAAGGAGACACTCTTCACTGCAAAAGTGCTTTCAGATTCTTGAAATTATGGCAGACAGAATGCAGGGGGAGACATATAGGAGACCCCATGGGAGGACATGAGACTGAAACTGAGCCAAGCAGAGTCACTGAACCCACATTCTTAAAAAAAGGAAAGAGTTGTTGTAATAAGAGACTCCCTACTGTGTGAGACTGAAACTAAACTACACCAGAAAGATACTCTGCCAAATATGCTATGTCTCTGGAGGATGGATCCAGGGTGTGGCAGAAGGATTGTCATTGCTCATAAAACCAACAAATGCATATCCCTTTCTTCTCATCCATGTGGAAACAAATGGCACAGTCAAGTGGAACTAAAAAGCTCTGGGAAGGAAACTCAAAAGATTTTGGGGTCCAGGTAAGTCTTCTTATCCATCCTACCAGTACAGTGGTGCCTCGTATTACGATGTTAATTCGTTCCAGCAAAACCACTGTATAACGAAAACATCGTAAAGCAAAATTTAAAAGCCCATAGAAACACATTAAACCCTGTTTAATGCGTTCCGATGGGCTTAAAACTCGCCGTCCAGCGAAGATCCTCCATAGGGCGGCCATTTTCGCTGCCTGTCTTGCGAGGAATCCTACCCTAAACACAGCGGGGAGCCATTTTATTTACCCGGTGGCCATTTTGAAACCACCAATCAGTTGTTGGAAAATAGTCGTCTTATGAAGAATCGGTTCCCGAAGTAGGGAACCGATCATCACAAAGCGAAATTCCCCCATAGGAAACATCATTTTGCGATCACAAAAGCGATCGCAAAAAGTTCATCATAATGCGATTTCAGCGTTAAACGAAGCGATCGTAATGCGAGGCACCACTGTACTCAGAAGAGAAACAGAAAGGGGGGAAAGTCCAGGTTAACTATGAAAGTGATGACGATGTGAGGGATTTGGATTTTGGGACTATGGACTACACTTCCTAGAAATGGACTGCTGTCAAGTGACAGGTTGTACCTCAAAAGGACTGGGAAGAATGTGTTTGGCCACAGAATGAAGAACTTCAGCAGGATGGCTTTAAATTGAACTGGAAGGGGGAGAAGGATGTGACTTAGAGGTAAAAGATGAAGGTTTATGCACAATAAAAGGAACAGACTGAGCAGCTCTAATGGGGCACAATAATAATCTTCATAAAATGTACAAAGGAAAGCAGGCCACAAATCACACATTTTCTTCCTATACACAAATGCCAGGACTATAGGAAACAAACAAGAACTAGAAATCTTAGTTCAGGAGGGGAAATATGGCTTCACAAGGATAACTGAGTCTTGATGGGATTACTCCTTTGATTGAAATACAGCAATTGAAGGATATAAACTGTTTTTTCCCAAAACAGAAAGAACAGAAAGGGTGGTGCACCCACACTACATGTCAAAAATACATATTGCTACACAGAAATATGGAAAGATGAGATTGGTTGCCCCATCAAGAGCATCTGAACTACTATAATTGGGGTGAAAAGTAAAAGGAACACAGCAGTTGGAATCTATTATGAACTACCCAATCAAGGAGAATATATATATGAAAACTTTGAAACAAATTGCAAGAATTTCAGAGACACAATGTAACAGTAATGGGAGATTTCAATTATCCTGTTATCTGTTGGTAAGCCAATTATGACAAATATGTATCTTCCAATATTGGTTTGTGTTGCTGATAATTTTCTCCTACATAACGTGGAGAAAGAAACTAGAGGAGTTGCTAGCCTGGACTTGATACTATGCAATAGAAATAACTTGGTGGATTCATGCACTGAACAGGGGGTTGGACCTAATGACATTATAAGCCCCTTCCAACTCCATTATTCTATGATTCTATAATTTGCTAAATACGGAGTGAGGCAAACCTGCATTGTAATCGGCAGGCAATCTTTCTCTCGAGCCTACACTGTCTAGTGAGGCCCTAGAATACATTAAATTAACTGTTCCTCAAAGTTAAATGCCAGATGCAAATGTAATTGTGCTATTTTATTAAAAGCTATATTACTCAGTAATGAAAAGAAAATAAATAACTCAGGTTTAAAAATTACATTAAAAAGAAATTACCCTGATATTGGCCCATGTCCTTAGACCAGAGCGACTCAGTCCCATACCGAGTTTCATCATACAAAAACCTAACTTCTGTTGCACCAGCATCCTCAGCATTTTGAATCAATTCCTGAAAGCCAAGCATACATGTTACATGTTTTCCAAATCACATCTAAACTACATCACAGCAATTATGTAATTATTTTTAATAACTAGAGTACAGTATTACAAAAATAGTCTAGATCTTTTTAGTCCCAGTTAGAGTAGAACTGTTGAATGAGTAAGACTTGTTAAGCCAAGAGTTATCTAAGCACCACCAACTCAATGTGTATATTCCAAACTGGGATTGATAATTGGATTTAGCCTTACATTTTCACCCCACTAAATCTGCAAATATTTCCTACTGTATTGTTAAATGTTGATTAAACATACAAATATCTGCAAAATAAGTTAAGGCAGTATTTTTATTATCACATTTCATACTCTTCAAAGTTTCTTATGTGGTATAGGGACCATAAATGTGATAATTTCTATTGTAATTCTTAAATTATAATGGAAATCATCACATTTGTCCCTCAAAACCCAAGATGCAACAAACTATGGTTTGTCATCACATAACAAAAGGCTTTGAACACCTCAAGCTTACAAGCTCTCCTTTCTCTTCCCTAGTCCTTTGTATAAGTTAAGAGCACAGTATATAAGAAACTTAAATCATGATTTGCAACAAATCCTGGACCAATATTATTGTTTTCCACATTTTTTAAAAAACCACAATTTCACATATTTGGACATGACTGTGAATGGACACTTCTAAAATCCTTCCCTCACATGCAAAAGACACAGGAGAACACAAGCCCAAGGTCTGGCAATGCACACACAGTACATTTAATATGAAATCACTGGCTTGATACAACATCTTAACCAGGCCATAACATTAAAGCAAGAGGGGGGGAATGCCAAAGATATTGTTCAATACTGAAAGTCCAAGTGAATTAGTACAGAAAGTACAGTTTGCTACCATTTCACAGCAAAATCCTTAAAGAAAAGGGATCATGCTATGACACGTTCGCAAATAGTAATTTGCATACGAATTCACTGAGGGAGGCTTGGAGGTGTCATAGCAAGCAAGTCCGAAACTTCCTGCTGCTTGTTCTTTTAATCACAAGCCACCGTTTACTGTAACATCTGAACTGGGCCTGTCTGTAATAAGGAGAAGATGAGGAAATACATCACTGTTAGCATTGCCTGCCACCCTCCTTCCACAAACATGTTGCCTTCATTCCCTTCCTTTGATATTCTAACCCAGTGGTTCTTAACCTTTGTTACTCGGATGTTTTTGAACTGCAACTCCCAGAAACCCCAGGCAGCACAATTGGTGGTGAAGGCTTCTGGGAGTTGCAGTCCAAAACTCCTGAGTAACCCAAGGTTAAGAACCAGTGTTCTAACCTAATTTCTGAGAGTGATAGCAACTGGAAACTCACAGACACAATAATCCATTTTATTTACTGGTATTTTACTTCTTACCTTAAGAATCTGCCCACCTTCTGGATATCGCCTTAAAATATCTTTAAGAAAATCAACTAGTGGTGGAGTTGTTTGTCCAAAACGACCTACAAAATGTGAAAGAAGCAAACCTCTCTTTATTCTCTTCCTACTAAGGGAACAAATTATGTTGCTACCTTTTATAGGTCTGTAACTTTTATTAGCTTTGGACTACAAGGGGCTACTATGCCCAAGGTTAGTAAAGCCAATATCAGGCTAATTGAAGCAATGATGAATCTAAACTCACCCACCACAAGTGTACTGGAAATTACTTAGGATTAAACCTGACCTCACCTAACTTTGTATTTTCATTGTGGCTGAGTCCCTGGGCTGCAAGAAGTTTGAAACTGACAATTGTCTCACCTGGCTCTTCACCGTTTTCTGTCTCTTCTGCCAGCAGATGCTAACCCTTGGAACATATCTCAAAGCAAATAGCTTTCTTGGCAAGTATCCAAGATCAGCTGGGAGAAGAGCATTTTCACCTATAGAAGATACGTAAATGTTCCCCTTGACATTTAGTTCAGTCGTGTCCAACTCTAGGGCGCGGTGCTCATCCCCGTTTCCAGGCCATAGAGCCAGCGTTTGTCTGTAGACAGTTTCCGTGGTCACGTGGCCAGCACGACTACACACGGAACTATAGAAAATGGGTTGTACCTAATCCTGACTCTCTACAGCTGGCACATTTCCAAATGTGTGCTGCATTCTAAGCCTCCAATCCTATACATGTGGGAATTATCCAAACAACAAAAATTGTCTGGCTGATTAAACACTGATATTTTGATTTATTAGACATGTCAGCAGACATTACAAGAGTATACACTGCCATGGAATGTCTGAAGGTAGTATGATATGTCCAACCTTTTGTGGGTTACAATTGTGGCCAGAGGTTTTACATACACAGGTCTTGAATATAAATGGTCAAAGTGCAGGGTGTAAAAATGTAACTTAGCATATTACTATTCTATAAACTGGATATAGGATGTAAACCCAAATATGGCCTATTTTGAACCCACAGTCAGTTCCAGGTTTGAAGGGTTACTCAGCAAAGTGCTCTCTGACCAATATCCTTTTATCTCAGTGTGATACTGGAAACCAGCAGCAACATTTAATGTTAAATTCAATTTCCCACAACTGTAGCACAGCTATGCTAAGACATTATTAGAAAATTTAGATGATCACTTCCAGACTATCACCGCTATCTAAAAATATTACCACTGCAACTTCTACTGCCAAAGACTACAGACGTATGAGGGGACCTATCAGATAATATTTGGTAAGTAACTCTAATACTTAGAATTGGCTGTGGACTCAAAGTTAATAATCTTGAGGTTCCAAGACGCAGCCATTTTTTTAAAAAGAGGAGTAGGGCAATTGTTTGCAGCTCTTCCTCCTAAGATTCCAACAGCTACCCAAGTGTATTATGTATCTGATTATATACTTATTAAAATCTTCTAACACAAGGCTAAGCAGGTTTACTGAGAAACAGATTTCACTGGTTTAATGGGCTTCGCTCCTTAAGTAATGTGCTCTGGACTACAATGCTGGCATCCATAAAGATTCCTCTAGATCAGTAATTCCCAACCTGGCTACAAACCAGGACATTTACAGGTATGTGAAAAAGACCGAATAATGGCAGGAAAAAGCAAATACATCAACAGTGTATGTTGCTTATTTATATCCTGTTGACAGAAACCCCTTTGTTTTTTTCATTCTTTCTCTGCCCACTATGTGACAGCCCAGCCAATTAGCTTTCATTCCCAGGTGGACTCTGTTCTTGTTCCACCTCTCACCCTGGAGCTTGTGCTACCTGCTGATTTCCTATCAATGACAGTTTATACGGGACAAATTTATTTACAGATTTTGACTCCATCACTGATGTGCTTCTGCATACAAACAGAGAGGATGAGGAAGCTGCCTAAAGACAAGGAAGTAGAGAGTCCCCTTTAGACCCAACCCTCCTACTATAAAGGGTACAATTTATGAAATTGGGCTACCAAGGGGTATCTAAGTGAAAAAAGTTTGAGAACCATTGCTCTAGATAAATATCAGAATGGAAAACAATGGCAATTGTAAAGAAATGGATGGTTAAGGATCTAGGAATTAATGAAACACATAAAATGTTGACAGAATCTAAACCTGAAAGTGATTTATCATATTAATATTGCTATTACAGTACACAGAAAACTACATGTATTATACTTTATGTATTATATATAGGAACAAATGACATAGTTTACTTCATTAGACAGAAATCTGTTTTATAATTTGAACAAATTAATCTTAAAACAGGTAGTAACAGGGAAGGGGGACTAGTTAGAAATGCAAAAGGTAATTTATTATAATACATTGTACCTCCTCCTTTTAGGCCCTTTGACAGAAGATTTAGAAATATATGATTCTGAGTAGTCTGGAGATCCCCAACCTTGACACAGTCTGATAACTAAACAAAAAAAGAGATATTTTTAAATATTGCACATTCCTGATTGTATCTCAAAACTAAATAAATTGCTTCATCCTTTGACTACATTGTCAACAAGTTTAATTTAAACAATTTATAACAGTCAATTTAAAATACACAAGATCCTTATAAAATAGACCTCATTTTCTTGTACTTAATCAATATTATTGCCTTTCTTATACAGGAGGCACCACTTTGCAAACATTACTACTAGAAATCCAGCTTTTTGCTTGTTATTGCTTAAAACCAAAGAATTCTCCCCATGCATTTAAGATTTACATAGTGATGCTCTCCCTCCCAAGTCATTGCGAGATCCTGTATATTACAGCTAAACAGAAGTACCTCAATATTCATAAATCCTATGATGAATTATGGAATTTCTGCTAGAGCAACAGAGATTTCTAATATATCCTGCAAACAGTCCACATAACACTATTGGGAGATGATCCCCTAATACTCTGGAACACATGTGGTAGGTCTGTAGGAGACTACAGAGAGGGAGGGAGAAAATCAGACAACACACTATCAAGGATGACTTGCTGCCCAAGAGTAGAATAAAAGCCATAAAGTCCACAGTTAATCAAACAGATTAACATATGGGACATAAAAAATGAGAACATATTGGGCTCAATTCATTTATGAAGGTTGAATATAAAAACCAATACCCTGTCTAAAGCCTATAGAACAACATTTATTATCATATTTTAAGCCCACTCATTTGACTCAGCAATGTTAAATACACAGAAACACACATTTTATCAGCAAAGCAGTTTGTATCTTAATTATTTGATTTCAGATTAATATACCAAGATTAATACATTTCTCTTAAGGAAAGTATAATATGAAGGCTGCCAAGAACAACATTTCCAAGAGACTGAAGAGGCTCACCTCTCTTCCCTGGGAGTACAGACACTGTTCACCTACAGGAAAACCTGTCTCTTGATGAATTAATTCTTTTATGGCTCCCACAGACACTGAAGAAAGCACCTCAAATGTTCGGCAGCCCACATAGTCATGAAGCACTGTCACCGTGACTGTCCTGCACCAACAATAAAACAAAGGAAGTTCTATTTGAATGAACAGCAGAAACAAAACAGCAGTACAAAACCAAAAAATGATGCCTTTTAACTGCACCAAATTGTGTTAATTACTTTACATGGATAGCCAAATCACAGAATTTTCAAATACTGTACTGTATCAAGAAATTTCATGTAATATTCTACTGGAGTAATATATACTTCTGTTGCATCTGATCAGCCAAACTCCTCTAGCATTCTATACAGTGGCCCACCAGGTGCCTGTGTGTTATTCAAAGAGTATGACAGTGAAAGCCATCCTGTTTCATTGTTTCTTGCATTTGGCTCTCAAAACATATTGCTTCTCATGTTGATATACGTACATGGATACATCTACTCCCTATGAATGTTTAAGCTGTGTAAGGTAATGGCCCTTCCCACATTTTCTGACAATGCCTTATATCTAAGACTGAGTGATTTTTTGTTTATTTTTCAAGAGTACATTTTTAAGGAAGAGGACAACCAAAGCTGTACCAAATATTCTAACAGGGGTGCATCATACAGTTACATAATTATGGCACTTGATTTTTCATTTTAAGTCTCTTCTTAAGCAACTCATAGCTTTGTACTTATCCTTTTCACTACTATAGTATGTTACACTGAGACTTGATAACCAAAAATGTGTCGGAGACAACACACGTTCAATATGCATTGTCTCTGATGCATTTTTGGTATCACCTGACAGGACAAAGTTCCAAATAGAATAGTCCTAGAACAAGATGGGATTTTTAGCATGTACTGTATACATTACTGAAACATCGTCTAGGTTGGCTTGGGCATGCCATGAGAATGGCTGATGGTCAGATTCCAAAATATCTCCTTCAATGTCTAGGTTGGCTTGGGCATGTCGTGAGAATGGCTGATGGTCGGATTCCAAAAGATCTCCTGAATGGAGATTTAGCGGAGGGAAATTTTCCCCAGAGGGAGACCACAGCTGCGATACAAGGATATCTGCAAGTGGGATCTGAAGGCCTTAGGAATGGACCTCAACAGATGGGAAACCTTAACATCTGAGCGTTCAGCCTGGAGGCAGGTGGTACATCATGGCCTCTCCTATTTTGAAGAGATACTTGTCCAGCAGGCCGAGGCAAAGAGGCAGTCCCGGAAACCTGCAAAATCAGGGAGCTGGACAGGGGAGAGATTGTATTTGTCTTCAGTGTGGGAGGGATTTTCACTCTCAAATTGGCCTTCTCAGCCACACTAGACGCTGTTCCAAGTCCTCCATACAGAGCACATTACCATAGTCTCTCGAGATTGAAGGATACCTAATCTAAACCTAATCGGATAACCTCTACTACAACCTGAAAATTTCTTTCCCAGCTACTCAGAAAGTCAAGGTCCATCTAGCTCCATAGTGTTGACAACTGGAGGCAGTGCTCCAAGATGCCAGCTAGGATGCATTTCTAACCCTGTCTGAAAATGGTACAAGTTGGCTCTGACAAAGCATATTAAAGCACTATTTTTGCTGACAGACTGAATTTCTAGGCTTCAAGCAGGATCCTTTCCTAGCCCTAGAGATCCTAAAAATTATAGATGGAATCCTCCACAGGCAAAGCATGTATTCTACCACTAATCTACACTCCCATACTATACTAGCATATAGTATGAGCTAGTGGGTAGTTCTGGATTTAAGAATTATTTATAAGTGGGCAGAAATTCCAGGCTGGCAAAGGAGCAGTGTGACAAGGGAGAGATGAAGTATTGCACCCTTCTTTTTAACTCATTATAGAAACCAAATAGGCTGACAGAGGAAGAAAGCCCCATCGTCCATGCGCAAAGGGTAAAAATGCTGTGAGCTAATGTTGTTTTGTTTATTTGAGAAGTAGTTTTATCAGAGCTCCACAGCAGTTGTGGGCTTATTTATCAGGCTACCATAAGACCAATTACCTATTCCAACTCTCTGAATAAGTTATTTTGGTGATAAGGAAAACAAAAATAAGCACTGTAGTGAAAAGAAAGCATAACAAGCTGGAGATGGAAATAAGAAGTAAAAAACGTAAATAAAATCGTACTAGACTACATGGAGTATGAGTGGTATTAACTGCAATTACGGAAAATTCACACATGTGTAGAAGTATCATGTTTGTTTTTGTGAACTCCATAATATAAGAAGCAAAAGCATTTGTCTATAGCATATGCAGATATATTAAGACATCTCAAGGATGTCACTATGAATTTTCATACATACTGTAAATGTTTTCCTGCCAAAGATTATGAGTGCTTCTTTCTTCAGCTTGTGTTGGTCCCAAAATCTATTAGAGATTGGCAGGGTATTCAAGCATGCATAACATAGTCAAGTTGTTGTTGTTTAGTCGTTTAGTCGTGTCCGACTCTTCTTGACCCCATGGACCAGAGCACGCCAGGCCCTCCTGTCTTCCACTGCCTCCCGGAGTTGAGCCAAATTCATGTTGGTACTGTAGCTTCGATGACACCGTCCATCCATCTCTTCCTCTGTCGTCCCCTTCTTCTCTTGCCTTAGCACTTCCTCAACATGAAGGTCTTTTCCAGAAAGTCTTCTCATCTCATGAGATGGCCAAAGTATTGAAGCCTCAGCTTCAGGATCTGTCTTTCCAGTGAGCCAAGTCAAGTCAATAGTGAAGTACTTGCCAATGCAAGTATGGGGGGGGCATGGTAACATTTTTATGAGGACTACAAATTAGAGTAAATTAACCATTTATCAGGCCTTCAAATTCCCCACTCACTCCTCAGAACTTTTTTTTAATACTATCATTAGAATTAGAATTGTTTTACCCCTCTTAATTCCTCTCAGACTGTTTGGGCTTTCCTTTTGCTGCCCTGAATTGCTCTCTATATTCTCTTGGGTTCTTGCACAGATCCCTTTTACCATTTCCCCCAATGGGACACATAGGTGTGAGATGCCAAAAATATCTCAGCTCAGACAGCTTAGGAGCAAAGGGGTGGAGGGGGGAGCTGTTGTCTCTTTAATTCAGAAACTGCTGTAACAACTAGAAGTTACTTTATAAAATACACATCACTGAAGAATGGAGCACTCTGAGGAATACAAGCTTCTCTCTGCCATCTTAAAGCACATTTATAGAAGCTGTGAATGACAGGACATTCTGGGGGTCATTCATCCATAGGGCTACCATAAGTCAGAATTAACTTGACAGCAAGAGAAACACACAACAACAAAACAAACAACAACAGCGAAGAATTGGGCTGGAGTCCATCCTGTTAAAAAGCAACCCAAGGGCAGTGACAATGCATGTGGCCATACATACTAACTTTCTCCCTTTGCAGGGATAAAGAAGGGGTAGAAATGAAATCAATCAATCAATGAAGCATAAAATAAAATACTGGCCACCCCAGACAATGCAGCCCATGAAACTTGCCACACCACAGCTGTGTGGGCGCCACAAGATTAACTCTTTCGTTTCTGCTGCAAGGCATGAAGCGTAGTAGCCCAAGCCTAGGCACATTTTCCACAGAGAAAACTTCCCCTCCCCACCACCCGTCAACACACAGGTCTATCCAAGGCTTCTTCGAAATCCAGGCGGCGGGTCAGGTTACAGCCCGCCCGGCTCCATCAGGAGAGTCTCCCTCCGAGATTGTTCATTCAAAAGGCAGGGAGGGTACATGCAGAAAGAAGGCAAGGCGAGGCGGGGACGGAAACCAGACGCTTGCCATCCACCGCAGACCCGCTCTCCGGGCGCCCTTTCCCCTCAGGCTGGGAAGCCAAGCCCGCCCTTTCCCGCTCCCCGTCGCGCCGGCTCGGCCTCACTCACTCACATGCCCCTTCCAGAAGAACCACCCGCCGGCGACGGC